CAGGTATTGGGGGGGGGGTTTATGGTTTTTTTTTTTTTTTTTGGGGGATGGGGTACAGTAAATACATTTTTTTATTGGAACCTACTTACTACCGGGGCAGATTTACTTTACTTTTTTTTTGTGTAGGAGCGGGGAGTTTTCCTGGGTTTTAAAAACTTAACAGTTTTAAGTTAAGTTGGGGGAAAAAACCGGTATTGGTTACCATACTCCGGGCACCTTTTTTTTTCTTTTGGTTGGCCCAGTTGTCCGTTTTCTCCTTTTTTTACTTTTCTCCTTTTTTCCTTTTCCTTTCCCTTTGGTATTTCCCCCCCCTTTGGCTGGCGGTTTGGTTTAAAAAAAGTTTTAAAGAGCTTTTTATCAAAAACCTTATCCCCATATCTGGATCATATACATACATCCCAGGGTACTGTATTGGTACAGGCCCACTTCCAAGCTACCCATCCTTTTGTCTTCTTTTTAAACCCCCCCCCCCCCGATCCACACCTCCCGCATTCCAACTCCCCTCCCCTCCTCACCCACACCCACCCCCCTTCCCCCTCTGTACAAGTATTCTGGGTCCCCGAGATTCAGCTAGAGCTCCTCATAACGACGCCACCACCCTCTCCCTTCCATTGCGTCTCCGTCCTCGCCACTACTCCCAAACGCTACACTTACCTCTCTTTATCTTGATTACCTCTGACAAACTTATCCCCCCCTCTTGTCCAAACATACCTTCCTTACCCTTACCTCACCACTAATTATCCTTCCTCCTCCGAGCTTTATTACCGTACATACCCACTAGTACATAAACTCTGAGTGATCGACTTTATCTCGTCTCATTTACTCGCAGCTTCTCGCATTTGTTTAAGTTCAAAAGGGGTTGTGGAGTCAGCGAGTCATTTTGGTCTCTAACAGTTTTAGTTTTCTTGGTGTTGCGTTTTAAGGAATAGTTATTGCTACACAGCTAAAGTCACCAGGTTATTGTGATAACGCACGCTTACATTCACTCGCACACTATTACACACCACCCTCACTCACTCGCTATCAATTATACGCTACGCTACAGCTTCCCGAGAGACCGGCTTTGAGCAACATAATCCTGGGCACTCACACTACCGCTTCGCACTAGTACGCCCTCCGCCTCCACCACACACCCACTCATACCCCAACCCCAGGAGCCTCGTTGTTGTTGTGGTACTCTACCCTGGTACCTAAGCTACTTACTATTGTAGATACACCCAAGGAGATCTTGTTCCCCCCTCTACTACCACGTCCTTCTCCCCTTGACGCTTTCTCCTCCCTCCTTCCTTCAACGACGCCGCACCCCAGCGCGTCTTCCCGTCTAAACCAATAAGTCAATAACCGTGGCAGTCAGCGCAGTATCATTACAAGTTCAAGTCCCAGAGGTGTGATAATATTTCGTTTCGTCCTCTTTGCGTTTCCGTTGCATTCGCCGTCTCATATTTCATGGTACTCCCTTTATTCATTTTTTTTTTAAAAGGCTTTCCCTTTGTTATTTTCTCGTCCTCTGTCTCTCTACTCCCTATCTTTATTTTTGCGCTGTTAGTAGAAGCTAAACCTCTCTTGCGCATGCAGCCGGCCTTACTGTCGCCTTACGCATTCAACGAATTTCGGCAATATCCAAATCTGCGAAACGGGTTGAACGAAGACGGCCTTTCGGCCAAGTCAGGCTTCTCGGCCGGGGTCGTCTCAATGTCGGCCTACGGGAAATCCCCTCAACAGCAAGCAGGTATATCTCATTGCACTTATAGCTTCCTTGGTAGATCCTCGTTCTAGAACATTTGTCTAATCTATTTTTTTTTTTTTTTTTTGATTACAGAGTATGATACCAGACCTCCTCAAACTCAGCATCTTCCAAACCCGCAGCAATCAGCCTATGGCTATAATCATTCTCAAGCTCACTACGTACCCCCACCGCAACAACCTGGCCATATTTCTCATGGCCCACCACCACCACAGCAACACTCGAGTAACTTGAGTGAACCTGCTTATCCCTCTCAAAGTTTTGAAGACCAGGGCCCAAGAGTGGTGGGATATCGTCCTACACAAGGAGTTGAAGGAGGAGCTTTTTCTGTGCTTCTACAATCTCCTACCGATTTGACCACTGACTCTCGTTCTTTCCGATTCATGTTTGGTTCCCGAAGATGCATCACGACTATTCGTAGAGAGGAAAATCCCGGGATGTATCGGTTGACGGGTGAAATTCCGGCTTTTTCGTTGACGGGTTGGGTGGCTCCTCAAGTGACGGTTTACTTGAACATTGAGGATGCCGATGGCCAGGAGTTGGACACGTTCGATGTTGGCACATTCACGTACACGGATAGTTCAGCGCAGCAGTCGTTTAGCTCTCCTCCTCCCAGGGGGAGTCGAAAGCGGAAGAGTACTGTGGAGCCTGATGAAGCCTCGTCGAGGGGGCCAGCAAAGAGGCCTGCCAGCCAACCAATACGTCCGAAGAGTGAAGATTATGGCTATGGTTATCCGGCCCCGGGCCCCAGTGGGATCCCTCCATTTACACCACACTCTAACGACGATAGAAGCTACCTCTACTCAGGGTATAATGCTGAACAATCCACTCAAGGCCCTGGATACCGACCACAGACCTCACCACGAGCTTATGGCTACGCTCCATACCCAGCTGGCAGTTCACAGCCTGCGCAAGCAGGGCAACCATGGGTTCAACCGTATCCGGTACAGCCATCAGGTGCGCAATCGTCTGCATCGCGACAAATGAGATCAGATACTTCCCCTAACCAGCCCCCTGCTTCCTTGCCCTCACCCTCCAACACACCAAACCCAACCCTCATCAGAACTTCTACTTTACAGCAAGCCGCTCACACGGCTCCACCCCCAGGGCAAGGAGGACCTAGCGGCACAGGCACCGGCTTTAACCCTTACGGCCTTTATCCAGAAAAGGCAGTTCTTGACATTCAGGGAGAGTTGGGGGATATGGCGCGAAACTGGAATCCCGAGGAGTGGGACAGCAGGAGGAGGTTGGTGCAGTTCTGGCGGCGACAAAAAGGAAGCACAATTCACACTACATTCCGACCCGTGGCACCAAATGACAGGCAGCCCAATAGCATTTGCATCAGTTGTATTTGGTGGGCGGAGAAGTCAGAGTGCTTTGTCACTAGCGTCGATTGCATTTATCTACTGGAATCCTTAATTGCCGTACGGTTCACGGTTGAGGAGAAGAATCGAATCCGAAGGAACTTGGAGGGATTTAGGCCGCTAACCGTATCGAAGGCTAAATCTGACAGCGAGAACTTTTTCAAGCTCATCATGGCCTTCCCCAACCCTAAGCCTCGGAATATTGAGAAGGATGTCAAGGTTTTCCCCTGGTCAGTCTTAGGGCACGCTCTGAAGAAGATTATTGGTAAATATGTAGGTCATCCCTGTCTGCAACCCCCGGTGATACATTGCTGAACATTTCGACAGTGTGCTAGCTATTCCTCAACGGCTTCGGTAATTCCTACTGCTCCAGGCGCTTCTGCATATCCCGGTGGATCCGTGGGCGAGCCATCACAGTCTGTTGCGGGTGAGACTGCAGTCCCTCCAGTGCCCTCGCCTCCAACGGCGACAGGGCCGACATCATCGTCATCTGGGGCATCAGCAAGTCTAACCGGAACCACGGGCCCGCTGCCAGTTAAGCAATCCTCTGCCACCTCGTCCCCCCCAACCCATCGCCCTGGAGGTTCATCGGAGCTACCAGCTCATGTTCCTGCATTGCCACCACCGTCTGCCAGCCAACAGGGGCAGCAGCCTCTCTGGCATCCTCATCAACCACTCGCCCCAAGCCAGCAGCAAATGTCTGCGCAGGGGCAGCGTACCTCATGGGATCTAACATCCTATCTTGATCCTAACACAGCATCGGGAAATACCGCAGGGACACAAGTGGTTCACTATCCGCACGGGTCCGTTGCAGCAGAAGGCCGGGAATCGGTTTCGGGTACTGTGCAGCAAGGCCAACTACCGGGCGATGTTTCTTGAAAATTCAAAAAAAAACTTTTGTTTTTCTAATATTATATGGTTTTGAGCGTTTGGCGAATTTTAAAGGGTGCAAATTTTTACATGCATCTCTGGGTGTATCCATTTTTGGCGCGGCGATTTTCTGGTTTGACCCATACCACTCTGCACTGCATTTGGTAGTTTCTTTTTGTCTTTCTAGTTTCTTTTTGTATGCGGAATGAGTTTTTTCATTTTCGTAAGGTTTGGAAGAATCGGCGTACATGATTGTCAGAAGAGAGAGTTACAGTGAAGTGCGGTCGGCTATGGAACTCAACGGGGGGGGGAACAGGCACAGTAGGAGAGAAAGAAGAGGAGGTTTTGAGGGTAGCAGGGCGTGCGCTTTCACGCAATCTGCTACAGTCGAGTTCGGCAGACCGTCAACAGCAACATCTTACTGCATATCCATCAACCCCTTTCTTTCTTTTGCACGGCGCGAGTTCAGCTGAATTCGCCGTCTTGGCAGCTCTAACCGCCATAAATAAAAGGTCATCTTGTACAACCTTGCCATCCGACCAATCCCCGCTCCTGCCTCGAAAATACTTAACATCGTTTCCTATACTCAACGACGGAGTTGTGTGAGTGTTTTTTCTTTTCTTTTCTCTTTTTTCTTTTTTTTCCTTTTCTTTTGTGAAGGGTTTTTTTCTCTTCGAATTCTTGTTTTATTTTATTTTATTTTCCAAAAAAGATACCATACACTTAGTGGCCTTTCTCCACCTTTTAACAATGTGTTTTTTCTGTTCAAATTATTATTCTGAATTAGCATTTTTAACTTCTTTTTGATATTCTTCTATTTTGACATTGGGTCAATTTTATTTATTTATATTTCCTCAATTATACACGCACATTGGGCTGTATCTTCACGCCACGAAATGTCCTTTTTATTTTATTTTATTTATTTATTTACCTATTTATTTATTTTGATTTCTCTTCCTTTCAGTCTGTGAAAAAAAATCCATGGGCGGTGAGCTAAGATGCTTTTCTGATTGATTGATATATCTGTTGCTTTCTTCCTCTTTCCCTTCTTCACTTTTTGTGTGGGTTCCTCGCTTCGTTTTGCTTCATTATGGGTCTGGTGGTATCAAGACGTTCAAGTATCATTAACAATGTTTGTACAGTACATTATATATTTTTTTTATTTTTTATTACTCTCTGGGTGTCTTTCTTGTTCTAGTTTTCTCGTGTTCCTGCTTTTCTGCTCTCGTGTGCTTTTGATTGATATGGTATAAGGGGTATACGGTGGCCTGACTTTATTGAAAGCGTTTTTTTATTTTCATCCTTTCCCTTTTGTGATATGTTTTTTTTTGTTTGATTTCCTGGTGTACTTAGTTCCTTTCTTTTCTTTGTTACAAGCAGTATTTTACATTCTTCCCCCCCCCCCCCTTTTCTCTAAATCTAATGGAACAATCTGTACCTCGATAAAGTATAGTACCGATAATAACGTTCACATACCGTATTATATATCACATTATACATCGCTTGAGCCTTGTGGGGTAGGAAATTTCTAGTACCTGTACAGTACATTATAGTACAGCATCCTACAAAGAAAGCCACTTGCTGTACCAGTACCAATATATATATGCAGTATGATACGGTGCTTTTGCCTACGTTAACCCACCACCCACCTCCCCGCCAGAACGAACAAGCGATCGCAACAACACCTACCCAGGCAATCCAGAACGGTACGGTAGAATAGAATCCACGGTCGAGGATCCGGGTACTGTACCGGCCGGTGTCAACGAACCGGCCCAGCGGCTCCACCGCTCCCTCGTTCATTCGCTCACACTCCTCCCTCCCCTTCGTGAACCTGGCGGTGGGGTTAAGAGCCAAGTACCGGTGCTGGTACTTGTACAGTAACCGGGTTTTACACCGTATAAACCCTGTTTGTCTGTCTGTCCGTCATGCTAGGGTGGGGTGGGAGGACTACTGTACTTGTACGAGTATCGCGCAGTGCGGCACCGTGCCACCGAGGTTAATTAATTGGCCCCGGGATTCCATAAAAACGGGGCATTAATGTGCTGGCGCGATTCGAATGAGTGTTTGCGCGCATGTCACGGTCCGGTCGGTATGATAGTATCTACCTTACCGCGGTGCACTGTATCATACCTCCCTAGTCTACCCTTATCGTCGACTCTCCTTCGCCCTTTTTTTAACCCTTCCCTTTTTCGCATTTGCAGGGGGGCTTCTTGAATGTTAAGTTACCACCTTCCCTCCCTTCCCTCTCCTTCCCTCTCTCTCACGTGGAACTCGGTTGCGTCGCGTTCGCGTCGGTCGAGTGCGTTTTGGGTCGTTCTTACCATGGTTAGCTCCCGTTTGCGTATCACAATTTACATTCTGATCTCGTAATACTGCTTGGCTGTTTAACAAAGCGCTTGAGCATCTGGACATCCTGGCTTTTTTTTTTTTTTTTTTTTTTGATACCGTATTAACGTTCGAGGCTTCTGGATAACTGGCTATGATATTACCGTTACTTTGCCGGTATTGATGGTTGGGCATCGTGAGGAGGGAGGTCCATCCGGGGGGGATGTTTGTCCGTTTTGTGTTTTTAGTGAGTGCTTATTTGATTGTTTGCTCGAGCAAGATATCGGTGGAGGGGTCCTCTTTCCTGCTGTGCCGCTACACACCCCACTTTTGTTTCTTGTTTTTTTTTTTTTTTTTTTGCTTTGTTTGTCGCGGTGTCCGTGTGCTCACGCCGGCTTGTTATACAAGCAAGGTGTGATGGATGGATGGATGAGATGAATTGATCGGGTGTGGTTCTTGGTCTTTCTTCACAAGTGGGCATCATGGCACGGTTCTTGTACGGTACGGTACTGCGCAAAACTCTCTTTCACGCCCCGGCGCAACGTTGTGTCGTTGGGGTGCGGGACGCTGATGACCTTGGATGGACCGACCGACTCGGGACGAGTGAGGGAGGGAGGGAGTATCGTATACCACTGCTTCATGGGCGGACGGGATTCACCGACGAGTTCCAATCGATCTTCCCCGCCGTTTTGTGCACAAGTACCGTGCCGGAGCGCAGGCTGGTTGGTGAGAATATATTACCGGTACCTTTATACACACCCGAGTACAAAGATACCGGTACCCTGCATAAAGAAGCCGAAAATCTGAGTCCGGATTCAGGACGGACGCTCAGATGTGCACAGACAATTCGCCACACAAACTTTTTGCCCCCCCCTTGTGTTCGGGTTCTATGTAGGGCACTTGTGTGGGTGTGGTATCATCAGTTGGATGTTGGCAAATGTGCGGTAGAGTGGGGTTGGGGTTAAGTTAGACTGCGGGACAGTTAGGTACATACGGTATGTACCGAACTCGCGGCAAGCAGAAGTATCATACCCGGACAAAGTATCATTCCTGGCGAAAAATGCCCCACATACCTGAGCCCCGATGACAAAGCCACGAACCCCCCCGTTTCGGGTACTCCTTGCTTCCTACGAAAGGGTGTGGTATCATATGTACTCGAGTACGAGTAATCGGACGAGCAAACTCCCGTGCATCCCATCTCGGACGGCCCGCATAACTCCGAGTGTTGCACAGTACGAGTACGTGGGGCTTCAAACTCCACATCGATAAAAAAGGAAAAGAACCACACAATGTCATGATGTTCTCGCTCAGTCGCTCGACCAGGTAGGTAGGTACCGATAATCATCTCCACTTACCTTTCCTTCCTTCCTTCCCCCTTTTTTTCTTCGCCAGGCGGTTTTGCAGGGGACCGTGTATTGTACCACCGGCAGACCGCCATGATACAACCGTAATAGACCTGTCTCCCTTGCCGTAAGCTGTAAGGGGGCAAATAGGGTATGGCAAAGCGTTAACGAATCATTGACTGTCGTGGGCAGAAGGGCATGCGGTAGGGTTAATATGGTATCATACTGTGAGAGGCTCTTCTGGCATGATAAGGTGTTGAGGGGAGCAGAGGGTCCATAAATACGGGGCAGAGAGCCCTACGAAAGTTGTCAAGGCAATTGGTCGTTACGTGCCCGTAGGCCGTCTACGTGTCCCACAGTTATGATACCGTAATGAGAGTCATCATCAGTGATTACCGGTATTACTTGGAGCAGTATCTCTGTCGGCCGGAAGTACTACGGTAGTACTGCTCGAGTGGTACGGTGCTCGCGCCGCCGAGTCGAAGTCGCTCACCCAGACGGAGATAGATTGATCAGCAACTTGGGCCAATTACGCAAAAGGGCACTGGTACCGTGCTCAATATCTTTCGATCTCTGGTTGGCTGGTACAGTACAGTACATGGCCAAGGTTACCACGACGCGCCACTTCGATTCGGCCGCGCGCGAGTCACGACAAAAACTCTATTGTACTGTACGGTACTTGTACTTGTACCTGTAGATCCACTTAATGGAGATCTCAGTGTCTAGACTGTAATGGGTTTAGCGGAGTGGGACGGAAAAATGTGTACCGGTTAGTGAGATCTGGCGACATCAGCCTCTCCAAGCTATACTCCGTCTGGAAAACATTATTCCTTCCCGGGCTGTTTTGTCCCTGATCGGGGAGATCCTGGTGCGATTTTTTACCCTTGTGGACGAGAGATTGGCAGGGGGAAGGGAAGTTACCCGGCGTGGGCTTTCATATCAACACCATTTACAGGGGAATATACCTCCACGGAATCGCCTTGCCTTAAGTTAGGCCGTAACTCTGAGGAAATAGAGTGAAAAAAGGAAAAGATAAACACAGTCGGTTGTCATACTTTTTACGTCAGAAAGCCTCTCCGAGCGTTGGGTATACCCTCACTTGGGAGTGGAGCTTTTCTTTTCGGTCCATTCGCAGCGCCAGGGGTGTCAAGAAACCTCTTGAAAATCTCACCCTATCGCTCAATGCTCTCTGTTCTCCCTGGAAGGTATCATATTTAGAAAAATGTCAAAGCTTCCAACGATTCTTGACTTCTTCCGCAGTCTTTTTCCTTCCCTCAAGACCTTTGCGCTGCTCGGGGGTGAAAGAGATGGGCGAAGTGTGTAAATACTCCGTCCCTCGTCGCGATTATGAAAGCTTGTTGATGGAATTAGGTGGTAAATTTCTCTGCCGATGGATAGTCTGTCTACCGTCAAGTGCATGGATGGCGCCGGTTATCCAAAAGCTTCTTGTCGGGTCGAAGCCGAACACATCACCCGCCGGGCCTTTGGGCAATTTCTCTTCCTTTTGACTTTTCTTCTTTCAAATAACCTTGTACGAGTACTTGTACTATACGGGATTCTCGCTACCATTCACAATTGGGACGAAAGTGTGCTATGGCAATCAGGGCTACTGTAAGGGGGAGAAAGGTACTGTAGCTAAGCGAGGTCAAGTGAGGGTAAAACACCCAAAAAACAAGCGGGTATCGAGCTGTACTGTACTCGTACTGTACTGTACCGGCACGGTGTCTCGGATACGGGAAGGTACCGTACCGGCACTGCGCGACAAGCTTGATTGATTGATTGATTTGATAATGGCGGTGGCTATGAGTAAAAAAAAAAAAAAAAATCAAGGCGTGATCTGATCTGATCTGATGCCCTGATGTGATTCTTGGCAAGAAAGAAAGGATATAAAGAAAAGAAAGAAAGAAAGAAAGAAAGAAAGAAAGAAAGAAAGAAAGAAAGAAAGAAAGAAAGAGGCACTACAGTATCGATATTTTTTTATTTTTTTATATAAATATTATTATTAAAATTTTAATTAGTACCGGTATGTTATTTTGATATCCAGGTAGAGAAGCATCCGGGAGGGCATAGTTTTTTGGTCCCATGTCCGGGGGAGAAGAGAGGGGAAGAGTTATTTCAACACGTGGAAAGCACTCTTCTTTCCATTCATCCCTTCCCACCATCATCTACTCGAGTATATCACAACCACCTTCCACCGGCAGAGGGATAAAAAAGATCCATACATCAAGACAACCCCACCACTCACAAGGAAAAAATCTCTTCCCCAACCAAGGACGGGGAACAAGCAAAAATCAAAAACAAAAAAAAAAAAAACATAACAAAGCGAGACAAAAAAGAAAACAGGTGGAAGAAAGGATGCCCCAAACTCTGTTCTTTGTCACCAGCAACGCTAGCAAACTGGCAGAAGTAAGCGCTATCCTGGCCGCTAGCGGGATAAGCGTCCAGAGCATGGCCTTGGATTTACCTGAACTGCAGGGGAGCATAGAAGACATATCGAAGGATAAAGCGAAACGTGCGGCAGAAGCGGTATGTGTCTGTCTGTGCATGTCATTCCATCCATCTTCTTCCCTTTCCTCTTCCCCTCTCCCTCTTCTTCCTCCTCCGCCACATTCAAGGGAGAGGAAAAAATTCTGATGGTGGTGAGGATATGTGCTTACGGAATTGTTTTCGTTGTTGTGACGGTATCATTGTGATTAGATTGGCGGACCCGTTCTAGTCGAAGATACCTGTTTGTGCTTCAATGCTTTGAAGGGATTACCTGGCCCGTATATGTGTGTCACTCCTCCTTCCCCTCCTCCCCGCCATAGAGCATGTTGTCATCATTGTGGCGCTATGGTGCAAACACGATTACGAAGACCATAGAACAAACATCTATTGAACAAACAAATATAACTTACTCACAGCCCACAATGCCCCTTCCCTAACCAACCAACTAACCAACACCTATGTAATGGCGCTCCAGAAAATGGTTCATGAAAGACCTCGGCCATGAAGGTCTCGTGAACATGCTCGCCGCGTACGAAGATAAGTCCGCGCAAGCCGTGTGCACATTCGCCCACTGTGAGGGGCCTGGGAAGGAGCCGGTGTTGTTTCAGGGTAGGACTGATGTATGTATGATTTTGCCCCTCCCCCTCCCTCTTCCCTCTCCTTCTCTCTCTCCACTTCCTTTCCTTTTTCCACAAGAGAAAAAAGAAAGAAGAAGAAAAAGAAAGAGTAAAACGGGGCAGAGTTGATTCACCGGTCATTGATCCGCACTGTGTGTATACAGGGTAAGATTGTGCCTCCTAGAGGACCTGCGAAATTTGGTTGGTTTTCCCTCCTTCCTTCTTTCACCCCTTTTTGTCTTGTTTTGTTCGTGTGTTGTTTCCCTATTTCCGGGACTGACTCGGGCATGTTGGCGGTGGCGGCAGGATGGGATCCGATATTCGAGTACGAAGGGCAGACGTGAGTTTCTCTTGCGATTTTTGTCACATGTGCTTTTTTCGGGTTTTCGGATATTGGCTTTGCGATCATTGACTTTGGCTTTTTCACCTCTCCTTTAATAGGTACGCCGAGATGGACAAGGCCGCTAAGAATTTGATCTCACATCGCTTCAAGGCGCTCGAGATGCTTAAGGAGTGGATGGAGGCTCATCCCTAGATTACCCGCGATGTGCGGGGAGCGTTGCTCTATGGTACTCTAGCGTTTTATAGGGGGAGGTTTTTTTTTGTCTCATTATGTCTAGAGGCTAGGAACTAGAGGTTGATATACCGAACTGAGTACGAGTATCCTTGGGCAAATTTTACACGCCCTCCGGATTGTTTTGTATCCAATGCCTCGTCCATGCGGATATCCTGTCGACGTTGCTGTCAATCTCCTCTGTGGTATCGCTCCGTAGCTCAATTATAGCTTCCTCATCGTATGCCTCCCTAGCTTCTTCAAGGATGACCTGCATGATCTCGGCGTCGAGATTCTCTTGGAGTTTTTTGTCTGCAGAGGCCATCAGCCAGTATTCGTACAACACCCCCAGGGCGCGATGAATCGGGGCAGGAAGTCTATTTTTCGTAAGGCTACATACCCGGATAGTTCCTGCGTCCCAAAGGTGTAATGCGTCAGCACACAGCCAATCAGCTACCACCAGCAAGCCGCCACTGCCACAAGTAAGAGAAGGGAAAGGAGGGACACTCACCGTTTCTCCAATCGATCATATAGAATGGTCGAATCCGCACGTAGCACAACAACAAGATCTATCCAGCTCTTCGGGAACAAATCACATACGTGCCAATCAATGATGTACCCGCCCTCCTTAACCTCGTCCTCGATTTCGTCCAGAAGCTGAGCAACCAACCAAACACCCCCTTATATTTAGCTTCGGGAAAGCGCGGATATCCGGAACGAAGGAAAAATATAAATAAAAAGGCAAGCCGGAAAACAAACCTTATCTTCGTCGATCATATGGCTTTTTAGTTCGTCATCATAACCGTCATAGCAGTTGCGCTCCTTGGCAATATGGTTGATGGAGAGGTGTTTGAGACCCAGTTCTGTGATTTGTGCTAGGTGCTCGCAGTGGCAAGATTTACCTGCGTTGGATCAAGATAGCGTCAGGGACAGTTTCCCGAATAACTGGGTATACGCCAACGGAAATGGAAGTTTCCTCCCGCAACTGTTAATAGAACTGGATGAGGGGGGGGGGGGGAGTGGGGGATAGGGTGAGAAATGTCAGATGCGAGATGCAAGTTCGCTGCAACGTACCGACGCCGGGCGTGCCGGTGATTATGATGTTTGGCTTTGTACGAGGCATGGTGAGATGTGTCTTTGATTCTGGCGGGTGCAGGCCTCAGTTTTTGTTTTCGTTTTGGCCTTGGTTTGATCTGGTGCTGTTTTGCTTTATTTGGGTTTATTTTGTTTGGTGGGGGGTGGGGTTTGGATCTGCGGTTATCATAACTTACTGGGTTCAGCTGATCTTTTTTTTTTTGCCATCCGAACCCTAGACAACGGTGGGAGGCTTACCCTAACCCTTGAATTCTGGAGAAACTTTGATCCGGAGGTTTCTTGGGGGGTGGGGGGCGAGGGTGCGAACGGGCGATAGATATGTACAGTAGTCTACATACCGGCATTGTACGATCGCGGCGTCCGGGGCCCCGGTGTCATCTTGTACAGTACCCGTTCTAGTGTGGGTACGTACGCCGAACAGACCCTAGCATCAAACAGTAAGCCGGAATCATACATAACCAAAGCATTTCTGGAATTACTACTCGGGAGACCTATTGGCTTGGGAGCTAGTGTTTTTATGGGGGAGGACTGTAATTAACCTGTTACCGGTATCGTGCTATCGCACGGTGTTGCTACCGTGGAGGGTACGAGTAGTCTAATTCGAACAATGTCATTCCCAGCATCAGGTTCTGTGGTGGGGAGAACAGCTGGGGTTGATTCAATCAAATCAATTTTCTTGGTATTGAAGGATTCTGGGCGAGTACAGGGAGAACGCGTTGCTTCGAATCACCCATACCTCGGCTGTCGCCCAATTTGCTTGGACAAACATTCTTGCCTACGCCCCCCCATGAGCAACTCACATGCCAACCACCAACCCGGCCTTCTCCTTCCCCTACACCCTTCCACTTTTTCTCCACCCCCCCCTGTGACGTCCTCCATAAAATGCTCTAACATCACTGCTTCTCTCCTCCCCTTCGCCTCGAACAAGGACTTCTATAATTATTGTCGTCAGACGTGCCTACGCGAATTGTTCGAACCCGATACGGTAGCTTATCATGGCGGGCTCCTCCCGTGTACCTGTCTCCCTGCGGAGCTTCGCTTCCTCGAAGAAAGCCACGGTGAGAAGCTCATCGCTCCTCGTACTCAACCTTGACCTGTAAGATCATTTCCGCTCGCCCCACGCCCACGTGCCATCGGAGATTGACGAGAGGGTGAGGGGGGGTAACAATAATAATAATAATACGAGCTTAGCTGACCGATGTCCATTAAAACGGAAAAAATAAAGATTCCGAAATATCGTGTTTGCCTTTTTCGTCCTGCGGCACTTTCGCCGCGCCGTGCGCAAGTTGCGTGGTCGCGGTGTGTTCGGAACCTTAGTAGATTTCTATTCAGCTGTGCAGCGGTACTCGTATGGTGTTTTCCTCAACTTCCCCGGAATCAGGTCGAAGGTGCAGTCACAGGTTGATGAGGCGTTGAAGAGGTTGGAAGATAAGCTCGTTCCCAAGGGGCCTGGTGTTACCCGCTATCATGAATTGCCCAAAGAGGGAATGACCGAGCTGCAGGTGAAGGCGGAATTGAAAAAGTATGGTATACCAAATTCTTTGTTATTTTCGATCCAACGATTTGGGGGTATCCGAGCTGATGATGGCTGATCTTTGATGCAAGACTGAGCGAAATGGAACATGCATCGTGGGAGGAAGGAAAGGTCTCCGGTGCGGTGTATCATGGCGGGGACGATCTCTTGAATCTTCAAAGTGAGGCATCTCGTATATTTTCTATCAGCAACCCAATGCACCCGGACGTCTTTCCTGGTGTGAGAAAAATGGAGGCTGAGATAGTGGCAATGGTAAGGGCGATTGACTTGCTCCAGAGGTTGTATCGGAAACGGCATTGACGTGATAGGTAGGTCTTGGCAATGTTCAATGCGCCGTCTAGTGCCGGTGGCATCACGACAAGTGGGGGCACCGAGAGTATCTTGATGGCTTGCTTGTCTGCTAGAACAAAAGCGTACGTTGAGCGTGGCGTTTCTGAACCTGAGATGTGAGCATCGATATGCCCCTTCCCATAATTATACTGAACTGCTGACGGTTCGTAAAGCATTGTCCCGAGCACAGCTCATGCTGCGTTTGACAAGGCAGGCCATTACTTTGGCTTGACCGTGCACCGTGTAGCCGTGGATTCCGTAACCCTTAAAGTTGACCTCAAAGCAGTTGCCCGTTTAGTAAATTACAACACAGTTTTGGTAGGCTACGACTGATTACTGGAACCACAACCCGCATTTGCTAATCGGCTGTGATCCAGATTGCTGGGTCAGCACCAAATTTCCCACATGGAATCATTGATGACATCGTGGGTTTGAGCAAAATTGCTTTGAGAAGGCGGATCCCATTGCACGTTGATGCCTGTCTTGGGTCTTTCCTGATACCATTCCTTGAGAAGGCAGGGTATCCAACTGAACCCTTCGATTTCCATGTCAAGGGCGTAACCTCAATTTCGTGTGACACTCACAAATGTTCGTCTCCCAAGAATCGTATTTCTTTGCATCATTGACAATGTTTCGTAATAGATGGATTTGCTCCCATGGGAAGTTCCGTTGTGCTCTTCCGTACAAAGAAGCTTCGGTCTTATGGCTATTTCATTTCTGCCGCCTGGACTGGTGGAGTTTACGCTTCACCTTCTCTCGCTGGCTCCCGTGCTGGCTCACTTATCGCCGGAACTTGGGCTTCTCTGATGAGCCAGGGTGAGAATGGATACACCAATTCTTGCCGGGATATTGTTGGTGCCGCAAAGGAAATTGAGTCTGGTATCCGCGAGCGTCTCCACCCGGACTTGTACATTCTTGGAGAGCCTATGGTTAGTGTGGTAGCATTCTCTAGCAAGACTCTTAATATGTACGAGGTCGCGGATGAGTTAAGCTCGTTGGGATGGCATCTGAATGCTCTACAAGATCCTCCGGCGCTTCACATTGCTTGCACCCGCCCTACCGTGTCTGCTGTGGAGAAGTTCTTGAAGGATTTGGAGAAAGCCGTACAGAGTGTAAAATTGAGGGGCGAGGGTGAGCCTGGATCAAGAGCTGCCGTTGGTGAGACTACTGCGCTATATGGAGTTGCGGGAAGTCTGCCGAACAAGAGTGTTATCAACACGATGGCGACTGGGTTTATTGATACTTTGTATAAGGCTTAAGCTGGGAGTTTCTGGTATTGGATGCTGTTGATATGCTGGGATGGAAGAGATAGGAATCGTCTTGGTCTAGATAGGGAAATGGTGGTTCCGGGGGAGGTTTTTTTTTTTTTTTGTAATGTACACATGAGTATTCCTTTTCGTTTCGTTTCATCTTTTCTTCACCTCTCATTTGTTATGCTACTGATTGGAAAATCTTCGTCCTCACACTTGCATCAGGGGATACCTTCGTTAAGGATAGGAACGGGTATTGTCTGAGAGGGGGAATAGGCATATTTGGTCACAAGCACACAATAAAAGCGAGTCTGATATCACTTTACCATTCGTCCCACCGTGAAGAAAGAAACCTACTTCTACAATCCACGGAACCACATTTCTATGCACAAGTAGTATTTAACATTGCATAATAACTACCTTATCGTTTGTTGGATCTGGACACACTTAGGAATCTAGTTTCACGGGAAAGTTTCCATTCTCTGTAATGGCATTAGAGTACATGTCTCGAGAACGTTGAAGTTGAAGTGGGGGGGGGCATACCGCGTTGGGTATCCCATCTGTCGATCCAGGAATTCGGGCACAAGGACCTGTATGCAAGGTAGAACTATGATCACATGCGATTAGCACAGGAGCAAAAAAAAAAAATCCCGCATCTGGATATAGCAAACCTGCTTGCAAGGAGCGAAATCCTCTCCCTTTGCAATAATGCATTTGTGGTAGTCGACGTACTGTCAGTTGCAATCAGCTACTTCGATCGACCAAGAGAGGGTGAGAGTTTGGAGGGATAAATAACATACGTTTTGCCAGCAATGCTTCGTCTGGTTCTGGTGCGGAAATCGTGCATCAAAACCTGTACCCGCCAAAAAAGTTTGTCAACCTTCCGTGCCCCTTCCATCTCACCACAACCTCCCAATCAATCCCGATCCCGCACCGACCAAGTAACCGAGTTATAGAAATCCGTACCAGCAGTAACGAACTTGAAAGGTTTAGTCTCTCTCTCTTCGTCAGACATGGTTATCGTTGCTTGCAGTTTCTGAGTGGAGTTGTTTGCTCTTCAGTTTTGAGTTTGCAGCGTGGCAATTGGAGATGATGGTCGCTGGAAACGACGATGATGATGGTGGCTTGTTTTACTGTGCGGGTGAGATTTACGGTGGGGTGATAGGGGCTTGGCGGAGAAGTTACCCGGAACTTGGCGGGTGATATTCCTCTTACCGGTGGTGTGGGGTGAGGCGTGAAACGACAGCGAGGATACTATATGTGACGATGACGATGGTGCTTTTAAGAATTACTTGGGCAAATCTAAGGAGGGGCACGACGGGCTGTGGAGGAGTTTGGAGGAATGGGAGCGTTAGGGGTGCAGGCACTGCCACTACCGGACAGACTGGACCAGCCAACGTCCGGGAGCTATATAGGCGGAGGAACGCTAGCGGATTATACTATACTATAAGGTGAAGGCTCCCTCCAAACCCCGTGTCCCTTTCCTCTTTCCTTCTTCCTATCTTTCAATTATTCATGGTTTCCAACCCAAAACAGCCTTGGAATAGCCACGTTAACCCTCGCCTACGCCTCAGTCCCGCTCTACCGCGCCATTTGTCAAAGGACCGGCTTCGGCGGCACCCCCATCACCGACCAGACCCGCTTCACGCCCGAGAAGCTCGTCCCCGTGACCGGCGCCCGCCGCCTACGCATCACGTTTAGCGCTTCCGTCTCAGACGTACTGGAGTGGAAGTTCACCCCACAGCAGCGTGAGGTGCGCGTGTTGCCGGGCGAGACCGCGCTGGCCTTTTACAAGGCGAAGAATTGCTCCAAGGAGGACATAATTGGGGTTGCGACTTATAGCGTCACGCCGGGGCAGGTTGCGCAGTATTTTTCCAAGATTCAGTGTTTTTGCTTTGAAGGTTTGTTCTTTTCTCTCTCTGCTGTTCAATATAATTTATTTAACCTTGTATCGCCGACCCGGCTTCAACTGTATTCTACTGGCTGATTGGCTGGCTGCTTTGGTTGACTATTGGGCTAATACGGGGGTGGGGTTGGACCTTCAGAGCAGAAATTGAGCGCGGGTGAAGAGGTGGATATGCCTGTGTTCTTCTTTATTGATCCGGACTTTCTGGACGATCCGCAGATGAGGGGGATTGACACTGTTACGCTCTCCTATACCTTCTTTAGTATGCGCTCTCTCGGTTGGCCGCTGTAGCCGAAATGGTGCTAATGCGATGTCCAGAGGCAAAATACGATAGCAAAGGCAATTTAAGACCAACAGCTTAGATTTACTATATCTTGTTTTGTGGATAGGGTTTGCTGGTAACAACTGGGGAGAAGTCTGGGGGATGGGGCGGGGATCTGTTATGATAGAAGCAACTCCTACTCGGGTTTGCTATTAGGCACTTTACCAGATGAGTTGTGGAGCGAGTGATAAATCGTGACACTTCTACTCAAATCGCCATTGGGCCGTGGTGTTTTTGGGCTTGGTTGCGTTTGCGATTCATCTGAGCTCGACCCAAGATTTTTGGAACCCAATCAAGTCTCTCACGGTAATACTTGATGCCGCAATTCAGGCAGGATCGTAAGTGGCAACTGGTGGCGAATTAATGCAGAAGCGCAAGCAGCGTATGTACGGTACCACTACCTACTCGATGCGCGAATTCCCATTTCGTCAACTCGCCCCCCCCCCCGAAAAGCTCCCCCTGCAGGGAGCTTGACTTTCGCCCTGAACGTGTTGAGTCACTGCTCGCCACCGGATCCAGTTTGCTTGTTCGGCTCTGCTAGAGGGGGGGGGTGAGAGGTGTATTTCGTTTTTGGCCCTGAGCGTGCCTGACCGACCGGGGGGGCGTCCCGGTACGGTGGACGTGTCATGCTGTGTCTTGGCGGATGTTGATTTTTTGCATGTGTTGCTTGGTTTGTTGGGTCCTCATGTTCTTGGGATCCCTCTTGCGGTAGTGTGTTTGCGGTGGTTGGGTATGCGGTCGGTCGCCTCTGCTTCTGCTTTCCGTTTACGCTTCCTGCTATCTATGTATTGAGGAATGCACTGGTGTGAGTGGACGAGTGACTATCTATGACGGCATATTTAGACTACCTAGAAAAAGGAGTAGCGTTGCCCAACAACCTCCCTGCGGATGACGGCAGTCAGGGTGTAAATTTACTAGTGCGGTGTCGGGTATTGCTAGCATACTAGCTTAACTGCTACAGCTCCTTCCATATTTTCCACACGCTGTCTGCATGCGTTCCTGGGTTCGAGCGAGGTTCACCTTTCCGTCTCGGTGGTTATCTTTAGTCGTAATGCTCGGATGCAGAAAACTCCCAGTTTCTGGTTGGGGGCTGGAGGCTGCCCATCACTATATCCAATCGTACCCTACGCTATGGTTTGGATTTCTGGATAAGAGATTTGTTTGAATGCAGTTAAGTCTCCTGTAGACATGTGGGTGCCAGTGATCAAAAGTGCAAGGACCTACATGCCGTAGTGCTTTACCCCTAAGGGGTGCCTGTAAACCATTCAGTCGGGATTGCGATGGGGCACTTTTCGTTATTTATACACCCCAAGCAGGACTTTTGCTATGATGCTTTACGTTGCGTGACGGGTTGTTTTTTTCTATTCATATTCCTGTAAGCGTTCGTGCACTTCTATATCGAGCTGGCCGGTTCTCCCGCTGGTCTGTGGGATAGGTCGGCGCCTCGGTGTGATCCTTTCCCTGCAGGTGCTGCACGAGTAGTAACTACCAGCTTGATGTCGGCTTCGCAGATTTCAGGAGGTTGGGTTGGAAGGATCTCGGGCATCTATCTACGGGGCTGCACAACGCTAGGCCCCGCTTTTCTCGAGCTCTTGGAGTTTCCTCAAACCGGCCCTCTCGCTCAGATACCGTATCTTCTGCGGGCTTCCAAGTAGAAAGGAGTGGTGAATGGCCTGGGCTTCTGCCCTGGCTGTGGCCGCTAGCGCCCAGGATAAGTCACTAGAGCGCTTGTGCCCGCTATGTCGGTGATGATGTGGAGAAGTACCTGCCGGGAACCGAGGTGTATAGGAGCTGGTATGGTGGCAGTGGTAGAGATGGATTGGATAACGCAGTCTTGTTTTGTTGAATGATCTAGGGTCGGTAGGAGCTATATCATCACGTATCGTAACGAGGAAGACCTTGGAGGCAGGAAACAGAGAGAACTAGCGCTACTGAGCTACGATACTGGATCGCTTGCAGTGGGTATTTGTCCCACGATGGCGGAGGACAAACCCAGTGTTGCGTGTTTTCACCTTTGTTTTGATGCTTGGAGGGAGCGGTCATTGGCGGGCACGCTAGGCTTTGAAAATACTTTACAGCATGGGACGCAACCCCCCAAAAAACATGGCCGAAGGCCGGAGGGGAAGGCAGTAATAGTAGAACCCTTTCCTGCTTTCCTAGCCACTAACGAGGCGTCAACGAAAAGGAGCACAAAACAAAATGTTTTTTTTTTAAAGAAATCCAATTTTGAGAATTCCTCCATTGGATTCGGAGGGGGAGGGTCAAACGATTTACAACGCCGTGCTGGGCCGACCTCCAGGCGAGGTAAGAGGGCCGTCCCCTCCTCCCTAATATCCTAGCTTGAGACCACCCGCTATTCTGGTAGACCATTCAGGCCTGCTGTTTCCCGGCTGTCACAATTTTGTTTGGTTTATGTGAAGCGTCTGATGAATTTAACGCCTTTAATGTCTATAGTGCAATCTACAACTGTGGGATGCCTAGTACTCTCTTCATTGAATGCTGGAGGAGGGCTTGCTAGCGATTGATCAGAGAGGAAAGAGCGGTTTCTGTTGGATAACGTGGGTGCGAGTGGCCTTCCGTATACGGAGTTTGCCATGAGGAAAGCAACATATCGACATCAGCTTGCTGTCCACACTCGGTTCTTAGATTCAGAGAAATTTGGGAGGGGGGAATATCCCAGCAAGGACAGATGTGGTAGGAATTATTCATGCATGTAGTCATTGAGAAAAGCCAGTAGGTTACATGGCGACTATTGGCGAAGATGTAGTTTAATGGTAAATGGCCACCCTATCTACTGATTCAGTCGTTTTTGTGCTGGGGAGTCTGTATAAATTTAGCGACTAGGATTTGCGGTTATCCTTTCATAAATTAGAGGAGGCAAAAAAATTCTTTTTTTCACCTGCTATCTCTAGGATCGCAGACTGCCTCGACCCTAGGCTATGGCCTGGATTCGGGTTCTACCACCTCGCAGTAGTAGTGGTTTTTCCCTAAAGCCTTGTTGAGGAAGGCTAAGGTCTTTAATCTTCTAGTCTCTATAGGACAGTGTTCGTTGCTTTTCCTGCCTGCACGATCGTTCAATAATAGCTCGTTATAAGGTGGGGATTGAGCTCCTGGGATCCTATTAATTGAGTGAGGGCCAATTTTTTTTTCTAGACATTGACCACTGCACGAGCTTGGTATTTGCGTAGCGCTACTGTAGAATGAATGCCTATCCTTCTGGCAGGTGGATTTGAAATTGTTTCGCCCAAGATTAAGGATAATGGCATTAAATTATTAAATGTTAAATGCATTGTATGAGTAGACACGTCCTTAAGGGGAGAGAAACTGTAAACGTTGATCACTGATTACCAGAGTCAAGAAACTCCTTTCTGTTAAAAAGGAATTATCACAATAGAGATCAACACTGGGGAAAGCGAGGTTTGGCGGCAGGAAAGGCACATCTCGGAAGAGATCAGGGATTGAAGATGGGCGGCCTAAGGCCATCGGGCTCCGTGCTGGCAGGTGCATAACAGGAGTAATATGCTATCCATGGCTAACGAGAGCCTCGTTCAAAGAATTGTACCCGACTTCGAAGTCTGGCGTCAAACGTTCCATATAACAGCACGCTCTGGCACATTGCCATCGACAGCTTCAAAAGGGGGTCCAATGGTACTTCACAAACTTCACGGCGGTGATATTGCCAAACAGAAATAGGACTGTCTGTGCGACCATCTACCTAAGGCGAGGCGGCAAGAATGACGGAAAGATGGAAGAAACAGTTTCCACCCATTGCTCCTTGTTTGAAAATTCACCCCCAGGTGCAGTGCGGGTGATTGAGTGCGAGATATAGGAGGAGGTGGACCTTTCGAGCTATTGGGCTGTGCTTGGCCGAGCTCGTCTTTTTTTTTCTTCCCCGGCCCCCCCACTGATATCCTTTGCGCGACTCTTCCTCCGGACACAAGATCGTGCAGGCTATCCTGCTTTCTCCTCCCTCTTTCTTACTCTTGAAGATGTCCTCGCCATGCTCACGATCGAGCCCTCCAGCTACCCTAACAGCTGATACTTGAATGCTGTTAAAGTTATAACTAGTATAATTTCATAAGCTCTTTCTTAGATTCGTGTATTTCGGCCTGCCTCCAAAAATATGATATGATAGTGTGAAGAATTCACGAATTTGAGCCCTTGGCGAGCACTAGCACTAAATTAAATATCTCTTGGGGGCAGGGTTTCGTGTTCTAACTGTAGATGAGATCAGTATAAATGTCTGACTACTGCACGGAAAGTTGATTTGATCATTGACCCATTTGAGTAGCAATAGCGCAGCCCTCAGGTTAGAGAAATGGTCTCCGCATCTTTTCTTACTCTAGAAGTCGGGTTCGCGCTAGGGGAGCCTGTCCAATTGCCTTTTGCTATCATATTTATTTAGTTGAGGTGTGGCGATTTGGTGACCTTCATGCCCTCTCGTTGGCTCGGTTACCCTTAACTTAGCTCTAATCCGACTTTTACGAAACGACACGGGTAGATGAATGGTCGGGCAACTACTTGAGTGCTTCGTACTCTAATAATTGTATCGATATGATAATACGCGAGTATAGTGCTTATTGAGAACTGATTATCGAGTTTTGCATCACAGTTACGATATACCAGTCTACATATATCATACCAGAATAATAGTCTAGCAGTTATCACACTTCCGCGAATAATTGTGAGACGCGGCTCTGGTTAGTCATGCTGCCCGCCCCACCAAAACCCCGCCAAATAAGCTTCCCAAGGTTTTCCAAAGCAGCACCCCCGCCGAAACCTGATTCTCGACTTTCCTCCCCCCAAAAAGGCTACCCTATAGCAACCTTGAAAGCGCCCATGACCTTCAAGACGAGCATGACTGCACCAGTTGATCGGAAGCAGGATTTATTCCAAGATATCGGGACAAAAGTTGAGAGCGTTGCGGGTGGCGCTGCCGGCTTGGTCGAAAATGACGAGGACCAGACAAACATTGAGGAGCCTCAAGTCGTCGACAACATTGGTATGTCAACTTACCTCCTACTCCACAACATATACGCAAGCTAGGCTAATAGGGGAGGGTTGTTTCGTTAGAATCACTATGCATGAATTGCCACGAACAAGGCACAACCAGACTCCTCCTTACTCGAATACCCTTCTTCCGCGAAGTAGTGATCATGTCCTTCGACTGCCCACACTGCCACTTCCGCAGCAACGAGATACAATCTGCTGGAGTGATCCAGGAGCGTGGGTGCGTTTACACCTTCACCGTAGAGTCAAAGCTCGACCTCGACCGCCAGCTTGTCAAGTCCGAAACCTGCATGGCTAGGTTTGTCGAGCTAGATTTGGAGATACCGGCCCAGCGGGGCCAATTAACTAATATCGAGGGTCTGCTAAGCCTTGTGCTAGAGGACCTAGCCGCCGACCAACCGGTCCGGAAAAGTCTGCAGCCCGAGTCGTACGAAAAGATCGAGGATTTTATGAAGAAAGGAAGGAAAATGCTCGATGGTGATTCACTCCCTTTTTCTATCAAGCTGGACGATCCTGCTGGGAACTCGTGGGTTGAGCCGAAGCCGGATGATTCTAGGAATAAGTGGGTTCGTCAGGATTATGTCCGCACGCCTGAGCAGAATGCTGCATTGGGATTGGCGGATACCACGGGTGATCAGGAGAAGGAGGAGGAGGAAGAGGGGGATGTGATTAAACCGGATGAAGTGCATACTTTCCCTGCGAGCTGTCCCAGTTGTGTTAGGCCTTGCTATACACACATGAAATTGGTCGAGATCCCACATTTCAAAGAAGTGGTCATTATGAGCACTGTCTGCGATGATTGTGGATGTGAGTCTACCTTTTAGCCCTGAAGTATGCATATCACTAACATCTCACAGATAAGAGCAACGAAGTAAAAACTGGAGGAGCAGTCCCCTCAAAAGGCCGTGTCATAACTCTCAAAGTAGAAGATGAGGACGACTTAGCTCGCGACATCCTCAAGGTTAACCTAGCCCCTCCGCCTGTTTTAAATATTTCAAAACATCTAACATCCCCAGTCCGAAACCTGCGCGCTCCAATGCCCAGAACTCAACCTCGATCTCACGCCTGGCACCCTCGGCGGCCGCTTCACAACCCTAGAAGGGCTCCTAACCCAAGTCTACGATGATCTCCACCATCGCATCTGGGGCGACGTCCACGGTGAGAGCTCAGACTCCCTAGACGAGCAGACTAGGGACCGCTGGGAAGAGTTCTTCGTCGGTCTCAGAGACGCCAAGAGTGGGAAGAGGAAGTTCACTTGCATCCTCGATGACCCGTTGGCTGCTAGTTATGTTCAGAACTTGTATGCGCCGGACCCGGACCCGCAATTGACGATTGTTGATGTGGAGAGGACGAAGGAGCAGGAGGATGATTTAGGGATCTCGGATATGGTCACTGAGGGGTATGGGGAGAAGGAGCCAGAGAAACAGGGGGAGTGAGAGGCTAAGAGCTGAATGTTTCTTCGAGAACCTTTATGACAGATACTGTGTTTTTAGAGTAGTTAGGGGGGGGAAACTTAGAGCTTAATCCTATTGGCGACCTATTGTATTCTAGATTGAGCCTTATTGTTCAGTTATCTCCCTAGTGCCCGGTAAATAGTCTTCGCTCATACTATGTCATGGCAAACAAAGTGGTTGGGGAAATTTCTGCGAATTACTACTGAGCGTAACGGCAAGAGCCACGAAGACTAGCACCCCTAGGCGACTGACTCGTAAACTAATTCCATCCCAACAACGGCCCTTACGTAAAGGCGCCCAGTCAAGCCAATTCCAAAATACTGCCCTGTATAAAAAAAACTCGAAAATCTTAGGTCTTGCTGGGAGTCGAACCCAGATTACGGGAATCAGAATCCCGGGTGCTAGCCATTACACTACAAAACCAAGTTGCATGGACATTTCACGATCTTTCACATATTAAATTTAGAGTTTAGTTGGAGTCACAAGAAGTTCTCACTAGTTTATCATGGTACTCCATCCTAGGAAAAAATTATTATCTCCCGTCGGACTCCTTAGCAGGGAAAAATTACTGCCAACCTGACTAGTCCTGCGACAACAATGGCCCAAAAATGCCAGCGCAGCATAAGCCTACGGGCACCCACACCCGCCAGAGTTAAATGAATGACTCGCCCAATATCTACCAGAAGGTGCTTATCTATGACGACCGAGACTTCAATAAGATAGCTAAGTCTTAGCAAGAGGCTTGCTTCTGCTCATTGTCCTCATCGTATGGGATGCCCTGTTTGGGCCAGGTAAGATCAGATCCCAACTCTCCCTATAGGAGAATAGGCGCTTGAAAAAGTGGGCCTTTTCTTTTTCCTTTCTTTTTTCAAGTGGGGGGATGGGCTGTCGAAGTGCTTGTTTATTCTAGATAAGCTGATCCATGAAGTTAATGGCGGGGCTTGAATAACGGAGTGTCCTCTCTTATGATTGATAGTGCCTAAGCGTCAGCTACACGTGGAGTGTTACAGTTATGTGTCAGTGGCACCACCTCCCATTGCTAATATCTACCGGGCGGGGGATGCCCCGATGGAAATCACTGGCAATCACTCGCGCCTTTAGCCTTCGTTGTTGTATGATACTGTATGATACCTGTGGGGCCCGACTCGATCATGAAACCCTAATGACTACCCCTCCATTTTTAATGCCTTAGAATATGATACAACAAAGATCACTCACCTCCCCATATTACAAGACTGAAATACTCGAGTATAGGATATCGTAACTCTTATGGCGGCGCACCACTTTATTTACCCATCACTCTGGATTTGTGTTCTAATTGTAAACACCCCAAACTTGGGTTGCCCATGTGTTGCCTCCCTAAATAGATATAGGCAGAGCTGGAATATTGGAACATCATGTCTTCCGTACCCACCATACCCCACCGTCTAGCATCTCGCCCGGTTATCACCTCATATTAGCTCCTATCCTGCCTCTACTCCTATAGCAACTGTCTTACTCTGTCGGGCACGCCGCCCGAGCTAAAGGCCCCGCCTTGCAATGATACTATACCGGACGGGCTGCTAGAAGCTACCCAGTGTCAGCCACGCTCGTGAAGTCCCTAGACAATTGGGAGCCCTGTTGTTTGAAGCCAGAAAGTTCACCTGCACACAGGTTCCCAGGTTTATATCACAAGAGGTTGTCGGCCTGCTTGATGAAATCTAGTTTTTTTGGAGTTTGGCACCAGCAATTGACCTGAAATCTTACAACTTTAATTCCCACCCCCCTTTCAGGCGTGCGCATCCCCCTAGAAGACATAGTGTTTATTGGAGCCGGGAAGTCTTGCCCCGTCAGATGCACTATCCGAGATATATCAAAAAGTTACAGGCAGATTCATGTATGCTTTTGGCTGAGCGCATTGGTGGACTTTCACCAGCTTTTGTTTGGGTATGCCGCTACCTTCCAACTCAGTGACGGCCTCAGGACCGGCTAGCATGGTGGCTAGCTCACTCCTTGCTGGCGCTGGAAATGTATACCAAGCCTCGTAGGGGGTATTTCTGGGGGGCTCTAGGCTTCAGCATGTTCCATACTGGCTTTACCTTCGTTTTCCGTTTGCTAGCACAATCATCAAGTTCATTCTTTCCCCTACCAATGATTCTTCCCCATTGCTTTTGTGGGGATCGGGGGACTAGGCCAGTATCGTATAGTATGCAAGATAAACTTACCGTTTGGTCCCTACATATTTCAGAGTGATACCCTATGAGAATTACCTTGGCGCTTTGTCATCAACATGAGCCTCCCACGTACCCCTCCATTGTGTGTTCTGGAAATTTCGCAAAGCTCTATCATTAGTAAAACACCAAGGCGTGAAGTTCAACCCCCCACCAAAAACAACACCCAGGCACCCCTTCTTCCTTCTCTAGTAACTAAACCGACCACAGCGCGAGTATGTCCGGAATATTCCAGGGATCGAGAAACAATGGAACTTTATGTTTGTCTTTCTCGCTCCCCCATTGAGTAAATTGATGGGCTGGGGCTAATGGAGGTTTTCACGGGGCAGTTCTCGGAGGAGAGAAAATTACAGGGTCGGATGTTAGAGATCAGAACGGTAATCCACCCCGCTCCCCGTTTAAACGCGTTAGAAGGGAGATGGTATTGATGAGGGTCTGGAATAGTTCTCGCCACACAAGCTATAGCGAATATTGTCAAGAGCTCGTTTGGACCTTCGGGGTTGGATAAGATGATGGTGGATGATATTGGAGATGTTACGGTTACCAATGATGGCGCTACTATTCTCAGTTTATTGGATGTTGAGCACCCTACCGGGAAGATCTTGGTCGATCTGGCTCAGCAGCAGGATAAAGAGGTCTCGTTCCCCTTCCAACTGCATTATCACCTCCGTGTTTGCAATGCTGATTATGGGTTGGATAGGTTGGAGATGGAACAACTTCGGTCGTGATTATCGCTGCCGAGCTCCTCCGTCGGGCAAACGAACTTGTCAGGAACAAAATTCACCCAACTACAATCATAACCGGTTACCGTCTAGCCCTCCGCGAAGCTGTAAAATACATGACAGAAGTAATGTCAGTAAAAGTTGAAACCCTAGGAACCGAACCCCTCTTAAACATTGCAAAGACCTCCATGTCCTCCAAGATCATTGGTTCGGACTCAGACTTCTTCGCGCAGATGGTCGTGGATGCAATGCTCGCCGTCAAGTCCACTAATACAAAGGCTGAAGTTAAATATCCCGTCAAGGCAGTCAACATCCTTAAAGCCCACGGGAAGAGTGCTACGGAGAGTATGCTCGTTAAAGGGTACGCTCTTAACTGTACTGTTGCTTCCCAAGCTATGCCCACGCGGATTCTGAATGCAAAGATCGCATGTTTGGACATGAATTTCCAGAAGACAAGGATGGCATTAGGTGTTCATATTACTGTTGACGACCCTAACCAGCTGGAGGCAATCCGACAGCAGGAGTCAGAGATGGTTCTCGAGAGGATAAAGTTGATTCTAGACGCTGGTGCAAACGTCATCCTCACCACCAAGGGTATCGACGACCTCTGCTTGAAGACGTTTGTAGAGAAAGGAGCTATGGCTGTACGCCGTTGCAAGAAGGAGGACCTCAGAAGGATCGCAAAGGCCACTGGCGCAACGCTAGTCAGTTCGCTTTCGAACCTGGAAGGAGATGAAGTCTTCGAGGCCTCATCCCTCGGATCTGCAGAGGAAGTTGTCCAGGAGCGTATCTCAGATGATGAGTGTATCTTGGTGAAGGGCACCAAGTCATACTCCTCTGCATCCATCATTCTCCGAGGGCCAAACGACTACCAACTCGATGAGATGGAGCGCTCAGTCCATGACTCCCTCTGCGCTGTCAAGCGCACCCTCGAGAGCGGGAAAGTAGTCCCCGGCGGAGGAGCCGTCGAAACCGCCTTGAGCATCTACCTAGAGAACTTTGCTACCACAGTCGTGCGTTCCTCTGCTTTACCTCTCCTATACCCCCTTCACATGCTAACGAGGGTGAACAGGGATCCCGCGAACAATTGGCTCTCGCAGAATTCGCCTCTGCCCTTCTAGTCATTCCCAAAACATTGGCCATAAACGCAGCAAAGGACTCCTCAGACCTAGTCGCCAAACTCCGCTCCTACCATGCTGCCTCGCAGACCGCCGCTGAAACTGAGACCAAGAAGCGGAATTACAAGAACTATGGGTTGGATTTGATGAAGGGCAAAGTTGTGGACGAGGTTAAGGCTGGCGTGTTGGAGCCTACGATGAGTAAGGTTCGGAGTTTGGTATGTTTTCTCCTCCCTTTCTTTCTCCTCCCTAACCTGAAGTGATCTAACTTGACTTGCTAAACGTAGAAATCTGCTGTGGAGGCATGCATTTCCATCATGAGGATTGACACTATGATTAAACTAGATCGTAGGTTTCCCCAACCCCCCTACACTTCCTTGTTGCTCTGCCGAGAAACGATCGCTGACAGTGTTTTTCTTCCTCTCCTCTCGTGCCTACAGCGGAGCAAAGACAGGAGGATCCTCACGAGGGTCACTAATCTATGGACCCCAAAGTTGGCTGGTTCGAGCTTGTGATGTTTCTAAGGTTAACTGAAACCCCTAGAATAAAAGAGATTGAATGGTATTTTCCATCTATATAGCTCCGCTTAGAATTCAATGACAATTTATTTTCCTAACTATTCTAAAATGCCAAGATTCGCCAAACCTCACTTAAGGGTCAAGTTGAAAGTCTCATCATAGTAGAATATTTGTGATAAGATGTATTCAAACCCCTTGAGTGGTCAGGGCCACGGTATAGGAGAGAATGAAATGTTTCAGATGACTGTTGAAGTTAAAGTGGATGTTAGCTGTTATTGCAAGTATGATACTATGAGGCATACTCTAAAAGGTAATATATTTAGAAAATTCTCTTGTATTTAGCTAAGACAATCAGGACTTCCTACTAGGAAATAATACAGAAGTATTTCCTCTTATTACCCATTACTTAAGGATGATATATTCTTAAATAACTTTGGAGATGGCATTGTTTTCCAAACCTTTTTCCTTTCCTTCTGCGAGGCGTAATGACTAATAGCGTAAAACCATGCAGGCACTGTAAGCAGGTTGCATTGAATACAAAATTATAACTTACTCAAAGTGCAAGCAATCTTTACCACCACCTGTGTTTTATGTGCAAAAGACAAGGTAGAAAGAAGTACTAGAAGTAATTATATATTTCGTAACATGGAAAGATGCCATTTAACCATACTAAGGTTGCTATCAATCGTGTAACTAAATTTTGCCACTACTTGCAGTTACACAATTATCGGGAACCTTGACACAGCCAAAGAGGTAAGGAGATAGGAGGGTAACATTGAACACCTAACAGTACGAAGGGCTTACATAGCAGTTAGCCAAATCATACATCTAAGAAAAATAGAAAGGAAAGAAAAAAAAACCATCACAAACATCAATATTGATATAACTACCACACATTAAAGATCTCTTTATGTATTCCCAGCCCAATGAGAGCAACAGCACGCTTGTGCCTAGTAATTCCTCTCTCGTAAGGCTAACAAACGCACTTGCAATAGATGGATGGGCAAATAGATAGATAAATGGCTAACAATACTTTTATACAGCAAGTAAAACCACAACACAAGATATCACTCGCTTACGATACAAAGATAGAATCCTTGCTCCCACAGCAAGTATTTGACAAGAAACGTAGATAACAGAAAACTGTAGGGAAAGAGAGGAGAAGGGAAAAACTAGAAAGTAAAAATAAGGAATACCTGCTCCAACCCTCCGAAAGCTAAACCAAAAGAAAAAATACCCCCCCCCTGCCCCACAGGTCACCTTATCCCCAACCCTTCACAGAACCCATATTCCCTAACGAGTGAAAACATGTGAAAAGAAAATAGAAGGGGAAAAAAGCACCAGGACGAATTAAAAAAATAAAAACGACAAGAACACCGTCGAAAGAAGAATAAAAAGAATAAAAAAGTAAGACTACATGAAAAGCAGTGCACGGCAAGTTCCGTCCGTTCTAAACTCCCGTCTCCTGATCGCTTATCTTGCCCGCCCCATCCACCAGAGCACTCCTACACCCCACCCAGAAAAAACAAATTCAAACAGAAACGAAGAGAAACCATCCTTTCTCCATGTTGTCCCCCCACCAAGGAGACAACTTCCGTCATTTTCTTGCCTCGCCTTCCCTCTTCGCAAAGTAGTATGTGAGGAGATTTTGGTGGCCAGACTTCATACCCTTGAGGATTTGGTCAAATAGCCTCTCATCGTTTCTGAGCTTGCTGTGCATCTCAATACACATCGACACACAGGCCCTTCTCACTTCCGCATCTTCGTCGTCGAGAGACTGTCGCATGGGTGTTAGTAACGAATTCATTAATACGGGCGAGATTACAACAAACCTTAACAGCTAACTGGCCCAGCCTTGCAAACTGAGGTTCTAATGAAGCAATCTTAGATGCTCTGACAAGCGCAGCAAGGCAAGTCAAACTCATGCACCAACTCTGAGTCGCCTGTCGGAATCCGGGCTTGTCTCGAGGAAGCGAGACATTCAGGATCGCTTCGATTCCAGTTGTGGGATCCACGATCGCCATAAACTCCTCGACAATCTCCTCAATCCCGGTAGTGACATGAGACTGGGTTGGGTATTTGCCCCTCAGATCGATAAGAGTATGCAAAACCGGCGCCTCGTGTCGTGAGAAATAGGGAGCAGTCTTCGACAGCAGTTGTTTAAGCACCAGCAGCCCTTGTACACGGAGGTCCGCCGCCCTCTCGGCATCGATTGAATTGTCCTCAAGATACTCTAATAAGGCTTGAAGCAACTCATCAAATACCTTTCCACCCTCCCAGATGTCGTGGAATGTCTCGCCATTGTTCTCCTGCAGCACAGCCCTCACGGGGTTCTCCCTCGCAATACCAATTAGCTTTCTGAAGGCTTGTGTGTCAATCTCACGATTTTGAAGTCTGGTAATAAGCGTGAGTAATAACCGCGAAGAGTGTTCGGGAGTCTTTGGCAGGTTGGAATTGCTAATTTGCTTCTTCATCTTTGACCGATACCATTCACCAGTTCCGGCGGCCGGCCCCTTATCAACGCCGGTGCTCGTAGCAACAGCTCCATTCGACTCAATCACCGGATCTTGGTAGACTTTGATTATCGGATTCTTATCATCCGCACGAGAAGATCGTCGGCCGGTTCCATTCTGGCTTGCGAGAGACTTCGAGTTGCTCTCTGGCGTAGAGGGTAGGGGTGGTAGATCCGTGACATTGTCTTGAACATTCGCTCGTGTAGGTGTGACAGGCCTAGGCGCAGGAGGAAGCGGAGGAAGGCTTATCATGGTGATATCCTCATCCTTAAGATTCTGAGGACTCTCTGGAAAATAATTACCTTTCTTCAAAGTGGGAGAAAAGTTCCGAGGCGGGCTTCTCATCCCAATACGAGGAACGCTGCCCAGTACCTGCTCCACATCCGCAACCTTCTCCTCAACAACTATTAAATCTCCATCCTCTTCCACATTCACACCCCAGGCCTTCTTTAGATCACGCACTGTCTGCGATTCAAAGGTATTCAAAATCTTATCAAAGGCCTCCAGGTCCAATCGCTGAAGGTTCTTTAGGAGTCCAGTTAGCGGATTGTAGTTCGGCACTCTCGTATTGTTAAGCATCGCGATCAGCCGGTTAACATAGAGCTTGAAATTGGAGACATCGCTCAAAAATTCATTGGGTGATCCATTGAGATGTGATTCCACGATTTCATTCATCCAAATCAGGCATCCATGAATGATCTTGCGCTTCTGAGTAGTAGTGAACGATCCAAGCGCCAACTTCCTAGGGACAACCCCAGAGACACCCATGCTGGTTAAAATTCTGAACAGTAACTCTGTAGCTTCTGATTCTGTCATCAATTGCTTTAAAGCGGGAATGCTATACGAGGTAATCGGTTGCGAATGCTCAGCATCATCACCCTCACTAAGGAGTAACACTTTAGGAACAATCTGATCCATCGGCACCACCTTGATCAATTCCGCCAAGACTTCCGGTGCCACAACATGTTCGACCACCTCCGGCTGGGGATCGTTCAGAAGCTTTGCTAGAGTTGGAGCAAACACATCACTTGGCGGGAGCGTCGGCATCTTCTGACCATCGTAGTTTGGGGGTATCCGTTTCGCCAGGATACAGGCAACAATGATGACACCTTCGACCCTCACTTTCCAGTCTACGTGATTCAATTGTTCCAAAACAGTAAGTTTCCGGGTAGCGGCTGGGCTCTGTTGGCGAGCTGGTGTCATACCACGCGCAAGGCGTTCATGAATTCTCGGAGGCGAATTCATAGTAGGTGACCGCACACCATTGCCACGAGTGCCAAGAGGTGACGTCCGAGTAGATGGGTATGTCCCTGTAGGAGTGGCTGCACGGGCGAAAGCACCAGCGTCATAGGTTTGCTTGTCTACCCTATTTCCGCCCTTCGCTGGGTCTCTACGGGGTCGAACAGGAGCAGATGCAAGGCCAGAAGTGGTCGGAGCAGGCGAGGCGCCAACCATAGGCAAAGTTGCCAAAGTCTCAGCGCGTTCAGGCTGGGCTCGTAGGTTACCCCGACTTCTCTTAGACGCGAGTATTGCCTCCTTCACAGAAGGTCTCCCTGGCACACCGGCGGCAGCGCCTCTACCCAGTGGTGCTCTCAAGCTATTGACGCCCTTAAGTTGCGCAGTCACGGGAGCATTCGGGTTATCCTTGGCCAATAGTTTCTTGGTATTGTTATCAAGACCCTCCATCATCCTATCAATGATCGTTAGCCCGTCTCTAACAAGTGACCCAGCACAGTTACACTCACACTTCAGCACGCTCAGGCCATATAGAAGCAAATAGCCAATAAGTCTGTCTCATCCCCTCTCTAACACCTGGGTTGGCATCGGACATGCCCTTCTTCAGGCATTTCTCAATCAAGTCAGTTCCCCCAGAATGCTCAATATACGCCTTCTGATCAACATGAGCCTCCAATAAAGCCTTCAACCATCCGGAAGCATAGCTCCTAGGTTGCACATTCTTGTCGTTACACGCCGCCCACATGTGCTGTAAGATCTTCGAGTGGTAAGAGATGTTTGCGATCAGCATCGCCGTAGTAACTTGCCCGAGCTGTGACGTAATTTTCTTCGTCCCTGCGCACAGCTTAATGAAGCTGGATAGTAATATTTCAACCATGGGGTCCAATCCAGGGCCGACGATCTTTGCGAGATCCTTGACCAGCTGGCATCCGTTTGTTGCCACTATTGTCCGTAAAGAATTGACCACCTTCAGAATTCCATCGAGTAACGACTTAATTCCGGCCAGAAATGTTGTCTGGTAATCCCTATAAGCGTTGCCCCTTACCAACTGTCGGAGCTTTGTAATGTTCCGATCCCGAGCAGCCCAGTTCCCTTCAGATTCTCTCCCATCAAAAGACTCCACCATACCATGAAGAATCTCTTCGAGTTCACGGTTCGTGTTCACATACGCGGGTTCCAGCGTATCGAGTTCGCTTCCAGCAAGGCTGGCAACGTATGTTGATGAAGCCATACTCCCGTTAATGCTGCCCGCCATACTATGGCCTTGCCGGCTCACACCATCATCTTCGTGGCCATCTAAGGACCTTACAGAACTTCCCATGACGTCACCAGCTCCGGGTAGTCCAAGCTGGTTGACAATATATGTAGCGATTCCTTTCCTTACTTCGCGTTTCTTTAATTCCCGTTTAAGATCCGATTTCGCGTGATCCGGAGCATTCCTAACAAAATTATAAGCTTCCAAAGATAGCTCCCCTACTTCGCAAGCGCACAAAAAAACTTACTTGAATAGCTCCACGACAACCTCCTTTGAAGCTTCCCTCACAGGCTCGCTGGCATCTTCCAGTGCCTTGATCATAAAAGGTGTAAAACTCCGGAAGGAAAACCCTTGCCCAGCACTGTGTACCTGTAGAAGCCAATTCAAACTCTCCTGCCTTGCCTTTGGATTCTTACTACTGAATCCCATCTCCTTGATACCACGTTCAATCTCGTTTGGTGTGGTTTTCCAGAGATCAAGTAATGCGGTCAATGCTATCGACCGGTTCCGGTCCTTCTGGTCCCCAAGCTTTTCTATGAGGAGCGGCAGAATATGATGTACCTGTGGCTTTATACGTGCCTGGTCTTGAAGAGTTACCCGTTTAATCAAGTGGCCCAGGCACGACAAGGCATGTAGAGAAAGTGTGTTATTAGAGGAAGAAATTCCGATGCGACAAGCTTCGAACAGTGGATTAATTGCTTCGACCTGGGTAACACTCATCAGCTACAACCCCCACGGAATCCACCAAGAATCAGCGAACAAACCTGAACAAAATAGTGCTTAACCTGCGCCTTGACGCTCGAAAACTCGGCAACCTTTTGATCAACGTCTGCACAAGCCCCCATCAGTAACCGAAAAAGCGCAAGTCAAGCCTGAACGGTGGAAAGCCTACCATGGCCCCGGAGCACCACCAATAGGTGTTCCGGAACGTCTGCTCCCACAGACATCCTGCTTTTGAAGTTTGTTTATGAAATGGCGATGAGATGAACGAATCGATAGGAGGAGGTGGAGAGTGGAAGAGACTTTGCGCAATGGTTTTCTGGAAGGCCCGTACCGGGAAAATCCCAACGGGGTATACTTTAATCCACCCTCGTTAGTCAAGCAAGGAGTTTGTCGGCGGGTATCTAGGAGGTGGGGACAAGATTTTCCTTTCCCGTGCAATGGAACGATAACGGACAAGAGTTGCAGATCGGGTTGATGCTTGCGGGAGAGAAACAGTAGGAGATGGTAGAGGAGGGGATGTAATGCAAGGAAACGAGCAACGCTCGCAAGATAGGGGAGAAAACTTCTACACGGGAGGAGAGGGTGGAAATTGTACGGAGCCAGTCGGCAGTGTGAGAGCAGAAGGAGAGGGATGAAGAGGAGACTTGTTTCTGCCTTTGGGAGGGTTTACTTTTTTTCTTTTTGCTTTTCACAACTGGAGGAGGAGGAGAGAAGAGAGGGTCTTTGCGGGTCAAAACAAACAACAACGGGAAGGGAAAGAAAAGCAACGGCCCCTCCCTGATCATCCTTACAAGTACCATTCCGTCACAGCACAGGATAGAAGCGTTCAGATTTTGGTGGGGGACTCCTTGAACCATCAACCCACGCTACCCCGGTGCCACAAGGTTACCCAACTCTGAAGGACAAGACTCCTGAACAACGCTTATCCCAAATATAAGCTATTACAATAAATGACAGATTCAATTAAATCTTAGAAGCTAGAGAACATGACAATAGAAGCGGACTTGATGATGGGTTTTTGACTGAGCTTTGGGGTTTGAAAGGAAAAAGGAAAAAGACAGTTAATCGCTCACTGCCGAACCCAATTGTTTACGGTTAATAAAATGCTTAATTTGCCGAGATCTTGATTTAGCTTTCTGTTAATTGAAACCTAGCGGGTTAACCTAAATTTAACTTACCATTAACTCTCTCCCATACAGTACTTGCAACCTTGGGAGGGATTGATCCCAGATCCCTACGAGGACTATTATCTAACGATAATAACGACCTACGGTATTGCAGTCAGTAGGATCAACGACTGTGTATCCTACGGTGTTTCCAACCCATACCGCACATCTTTAAGGGGGAAGTTATAGGATCTAAGGGCCTGTCAAAAAGTTAGTGACAAGAAATGCGCTGTCGATATTAACCCACATCACTGGTTGGGGTCGAACGGATACCGATACGCGTGTTGACCCCGAATTCCACTTTGCAACATTCTGTCACCTTCTCCTGCAGATGGCTAAACCAGCCCCACAGTGCGGATGAGCAAATCAAGAACCAAAACAAACAATCTTATCAACAAACATCAAACCCGCCCGCTACAGATACCAATGCGCATAAACCTACAGTATCATGATATTGGTATCGCACGACCCGTAGTCTTAAAATAGAAGTAATACCACAGGGCATTGGTATTTGCTCTCAAAATTATTATTCTCCATCCTTCGTAGCTAGTAAAACCACCATAATAATTACCATTATTACACATTAAGAATTATCCCGGCTATAGAGCTTCTATCCATGAATGCAAAACAGATCCCAAACCATCTATCATGCCCGGCTAACCCGCACCTGTAATCTCAAACCCTTTCAAACCCTTTTCCCACAGAATCATCAATATCACGTAACTATACATTCCAAACGACATAGCAAACGCCAGGTATGCCCAGTGTGGACCAATCGCGATATCGAACAACAGTTTCCCGACATTCAGTTTCCTTTTCTCCCCGTCTAGGCCGGTAAGGTACGCAACTCCTCCACTCCCATCAACCTCTTCCCAAGTCATTGCCCCGCTCTGGTCCCGCTTGCTCCTCCACTCTTTCCACCAGCACCATACACCCGCCGGGAAATCATCCGCCGGGTTCCTAGCGTAGTAGTCCCTGGCTTCGATCTTGCGGCCATTGCCGTAAATAGCGTGGACCTTCTTGTCTACCATATCGAAGAGCCATAATTGGTCGCTTGTTGTCGCTGCGACATACCTTCCATCCCCACTCATTGTTAGGGCGGAACATTGGCGGGGAAGGGAGGATGCTGTGCCGTTCGGCTTTGTGGTATCCGATGCCAGAGGATCGGGAATGGTATATATAGGTTCGTGCCCATCTGAAACATAGTTCCAGACCAATAGGCCCCCTCCAGCTCCCCCGGATACAATGTATGTGTCGGTCAGAAGAAATTCGTGTGAAAGAGCTGTAGTGAAGGCGGCTCGGGGGCTGCCAGGTAGAGTGGATGGGGACTTTGTACTGAATTTCATGCGCTTTACCGTTCCCCCAGTTTCTAAGTCTAGAATGTAGAAATCTGTGCCGACCAGCTTTCCGAGGGTTGCCGTCGGGTGCTGTGTGACCAGACAAACTAGATGAGTTCTGCGTCACGAGACATTTATTAGCTGCAGTTCTTGAATTGAGCATGGTTATCAGAGATATGGTTCAAGACAGACCTAGTTATATGAAAGTTCTTCAGGTGAGGAAAGCTCGTATATCTATTCATTTCCTGGGGCCATCGAATACTAAGGTCGAATTCCCAAACAATCCTCGAGCCTGCCAACGTCCTAGCCTTCCACCTACTGCGTCCTTCCTGCCCTCCAAAAGACTCCACGCAAACCAGATTGCTAGGAATTTGCGATGTTTTGCCATCACTATCAGGATGAGCGTAGGTAACAGCAACAAGTATCTCCCCATTCGCAACCACCCGATCAGGCCTTCTCTTTCCCAAGTTCCAAGAATGCGATAGCGCCGCGGTAGATGCGTCTACCGCGCGAACTCTATACTCCCCGCTCCTTTCCTCAAACACAAATCCCGCTTGCACTGGAAACGGCGTGACACACTCCGTGAGTAACGGGAGCGGCGACGCAACCCAACCATGCGACCTATTATTCCCCAAAATCACCTCCCTCGGCTTACCCATCACGGGATCCAGCACGCAGGTAACCTTCGGCCCACCCGACAGCGAGTACGTCAATCCTGGGATAATGCCGCCGTTAGGGCCGCCCGGGGGCCTGACCTGAAATACCGCACAGCCATCATCTCTAACACTCGCCGGTTTCGTAACGTACGAATTTTCCCGCTTGGCTCCCTCCCCCGCGACAAATACCTCCACAACCCTCCGTCCGAACCAATCTCCCTTCTTATCCACCGGTGGAAGCTGCCTCGCTGCTCTCTGCTGCTTGGGTATCACTGGGGTTTTCGCCGGAAATGGGCGACCCCAAGCTAGGTTTAGCTTGACCACGTTTCGCCAGAGCCGCTTCTGCAGCGTGGAGCTTCCGGGGTACAGGACGTGGTCCAAGCGAAGGGATTCTGGAATTCCTAGTGCTAGCGCGGGTTCGCGCCAAAGGAGATCATTTTCTGTGCAGAAGACAGCGTGGTGGAGGGCGCTGCAGGTGAGAGCGACATTCAGGAGCGTTTTGTAGGGCGGAGGTGAAGTGGAGGACGCGGAGAATTTGAGGATGTTGACGAGGATTTCGGTTGGGAGATTCAGGAGTTGCGAGGTGTCCATCACTAGATACTTATCTCTCCCTCTCTCTTTCCTTGCGCCAACTGGTGATGCTAGATGTGAGAGAGGGCGGGGGAGAAGTATCATAAAGTATCATATCATACCGGTAGGTAAGATAGGGCCTGATTGACTGCAGGGGAGGGGGCAAGGTGTCTTGTACTCGAGTACTACTCGGGTATGGACGTAGGTGATGGGACGGACAGGGGTTTTTGAGTCCGGGCGCAGTTGCCGTCAGAGGGAAATTTTCATTTAATTTGGTGGGAGTGATGCCAGCATTGATATCGTGTGAAGCCCCTGTCCGTCTCATCACTTACGTCCATACCCGAGTACAGTACCTACCATACCAGATCCCTTCACACCTGAATGATCTGGCCCATTCGTCATACCGGTAATCACCCACATGAATTCTACCGTACTCGAGTACAAGTATCATACTGTGTCATGCGAGAAAATTTAAGCCCAGTGTCACTTGTTAGGAAAAAACCTATGGGGTTGTTCCGAATACGGTATGATAATTTGTCTTAGAAAAAGACAAGTTGTGCTAAGCTATCAAAAGCACTGAAACTCTTTTTCCTCCTTTTGGAGCAAAGGAGGGCCGGTATCATGGCTGTGTTACTCGAGTACCACCCTGCAATGTTGAACTGACATGCTTGCATTCTGTTGACTCAGATGTCAACCTCACCAAGGTCACTCATCAGATTGCATCTTCTGGCGCGTGACTTGTACTAGTGCATAGTTGGATAGTTTGGAAGAGATAGTAGAGTACCGGTATCCCACCTTACCTTATGGCGACTGACCAATGTCCCGATATCGCACGAATAGGGGGCGGGTGTTTCTCGTCCACTCAAGTCACTTCTTCCACCTTACCGGTACCGTGTGATACCGGTATTCGACAAATCGAGTATCTCCGTGCAGGCCCTAGGAAGCCTACCGGTAGTACCGGTACCGTACTGTACTGAACATAAAATGAATGAGAAGGTCGCTTTAACTGCTGTCAAGAAGTCTCAAGCCCCTGTTAACCAACGATTGACCTGAATCCGCCCGTCTGAGGAAATCAGGACTTTCCCAAGGCGCCACTCCAGTTACCGAGTGAATAAGGTAATTCCCAGGTGCGGAATGGCGTACCAGAAGCAAGGGAAAATGAACCAGACCCAGTATAGCACGAGTGACAACGGGTGATTTGAGAGTCTAATCAGTCAAGTGTTAATTATTTTGAGCTAGCAAAGTGATGGCAGTACGGGGCTTATAAGACCACTTAGACTCAGTTTGTGGACAAAAAAGTTTCGCAGTAAGGGGGAAAAGGGGGGAGAAGGTACTCAAACGATAAGAGATTTCTATATTTTCTATCCGGTGAACTACATGTACTGTACTGTACAGTACCGGTACCCTTCCACCAACCTTCCCTGCTACCATTGCTCCGAGGAGTAAACACATGGACTACTTGTACTGTACCCGACGATCATTCATCCCCTAGTGGAAGATGGAGAGAAAAGATATTCATGAATAATGTAGACTTCGCAACGTTTGAACCCCGTCCTAGGCAAACAGCATAGAAGATCAGGTCCGGCTGGCCCCGGAGATCTACGCGTTAATCCAGATCAATCTTTCTGGGAGTACTCTTCAACTGCTGTCCCACAATCCAATACAGTACAACGCAGCAAGAACGAGTGCCCAACTATCTTCAAACGGGGTTCCACCGCACGGCCAAATTATCTCATCCTTTACCTACGAAGTGCGATAACAGCTAACTTAGGTGCCCGAGCCTCGGCTAACTGACATTATATTGTCACATTACAGCTGCCGCATAATTGTGCGATGTTAAGGCTGACTTGGATTGTTCTGGGGGTTTCTAGTAGATACGGAGGGGACAAGACCCGAGAGTCGAAGTAAATATTCCGCGATCAGGGAATAATCATTGAACATCACGGCCAGGACCACAAGGGTGTGAACTGGACCCTGTTGCTCTTAACTATTTTTCGCGAGAAGTCTTCAGAGTCGGTAGGTTTGTAGTGTGGGAGATGGAGTAAAAGAAAATGGTGAGAAAAGGAGTTTACATGTTAGGCTTGTAGAGTATATAATTCTGGGGGGTGGAAGGAGGGATGTATCATACCAGTGGTTCTCCTTTTCTATTTCACAGCGATGGTGGTAGAAAGTCAGCGGACACTATTGATAAGGTTATAACGCTACTGCAAGAGAATCTTGGCGTTGGAGAGCTTAGACTGCCTCTTTTTTTTTTTTTTTTTATCTTCCTCGTTTTCCCACTCCCACGATCAAACCCCACCCAACACAACCCGCCACCCCCTCATATTACCCAACCCAACCCCGGGAGGAGTCATTGCCCTCCGCTGTTTCCCAATATCCTCCAATTCCGCGCCGTCATATCCCCCGCAATCACAAACACCCAAAGATATATCCAATTTGTAATGGCATCACCGAGCTCTCCGGTCAAGAAGCGGCCGAGGACTCAATCCCTCCCACCGCTACCAAGCCTCACAGCGGAGCAAGCGGTTCCCATCTCGGCTGAAGATAGAGATTCCAAACGGCTAATTGTCGTCCTGGCACGGGCATGCCTCGAAACCCACAAAGTTTCGGCCAACGGAGGAGAGAAGTACGTCCTCCTCAACTCAGACGATCACATTGGAGTTTTGAAAAAGATGGGTCGGGATATCAGTGACGCTCGGCCAGATATCCTCCATCAGGTTCGTTTAAATTCGCTCCATCCGCCATCTGTTTTTCAGCCTCCCCCAATTCCCATTGCCCTCCCCTCACATTTTGTGGGTCCCCCTCCTCTTTCCCTTCTTTCACACAGGAAGAAATAAGGGCTAGTGCGGAGGAGGATTGATTTCAGACATCCATAAACACACATCCCCGCAGGAAAAGCATTCGTCAGAAGCTCAACCTTTCTAACAGTATGCAACCTATTGCGCTTTCAACAGTGCCTTCTCACACTACTAGACAGCCCCGTGAACAAAGCTGGAAAGCTCCAGGTCTACATCCAATCCACCAAGGGCGTCCTCATCGAGGTGAACCCTACGGTGCGAATACCCCGGACATTCAAGCGCTTCGCTGGTCTTATGGTGCAGCTGCTACACAAACTATCCATCCGGTCGACCTCCTCCAGCGAGAAACTACTCAAGGTTATTAAGAATCCCGTTTCTCAGTACCTCCCGCCGAATTGCCGCAAGGTGACGCTGTCTTGGGAAGCGCCCGTTATGAATGTCCGGGAGTATATTTCCGGGCTTGAGGACGATGAGAGCATCTGTGTTGTTGTGGGCGCCATGGCGAAGGGGAAGGACGACTTTGCCGATGGGTGGGTTGATGAGAAGATTGGTGTGAGCAATTACTCGTTGTCGGCGAGTGTCGCTTGCAGTAAGTTTTGTCATGCTGCCGAGGATGTTTGGGGGATATTGTAGTACTTCCCTCCTTCCTTGTCCAAGTACTGGTGCTTGTTGATAACTCTTTTGTGTTCCCTATCGGTGTTTTTATCTTTTGAACGGCCATAATCCGTTTTTACCTGTCCTGCTTTCCCCCGCCCCCACTCCCCCCACTCTTCTAGTAAAACCCCACACAAAAAAACATACAAAATGGGCGCCCTACAAATAACAAAAAAGCAGAGGGAAAATTATCAACCCATGGCATTCAACAGGCACTGGGTGCATAGTTTTCCAATTTCATTTTTTTAGATTCATTCTCATTTTTCTTTCTAGGGATTCTTTTTTGTTTTAAAAAAGGAGAAGGGCGGATACCTCAACGTATATTATTGTTGTCAATGTTGGTTATCATTACTCCCATTATCGTGTTTCGCGATATGCTACTTTTGCTGGGGCGCGGTGCAGTAGTAGTCTAATTTTCAATAGTACTTATACCACCATATACGAGTACTCGAGTAGTGTACAGTACTCGAGTAGTGCTATGCAAGTACGGTCAGTACCAGCACGGTAGTTAGTTGTCGAGTTAAATCTGCTGCTGTACGAGTATTGGATAAACGAACGGGTGAAGACTCGCCCGCTGCCATTGGGGGTCTATTTCTGCACACACATGCAAGTGATTGTTTTAGTAATTTTTTCACCATAGTGATGCGTGGCAGAAAATGAAGGAGGGCTGGCGGGCCAGTAGTTTGCGATATGCAATTCTTGAGATAAAGACTCTTCCTCATCATCATCATCCTTCCTTTCTTCCTTCCTTCCTCCATTGTTGCTCCCCCCCCTCGTCCATCTTAAACAAGTTCTCTCGGCCGAAGGGTCGTCACTAAACCATCGCAAAGAAAAGAACATAAGGAAGGAATCACTGAAGGATCGTCATCACAATGCCCCTACCAGGTACCCCCCCTCCATTCTCCACTCCTCCCCTCCTTCCTACTAACCAAACAAGTAGAAGCCTCACCCCTGAACATCTATCTCGGCAGTAACGCGCTAATCTCCCTCTCGACGGCCTACTTCTACCTAACCTCGCCAGCACCCTCGATCGTGAAACTCGGCGGCAAGCCCTCACCCACCTCCACAGTCCTAACCCAACTCCTAGCCTCGGGCGAAGCCTTGATTTCTTACATCTGCTTAGAGGGCCTATTCTCCTCCAGTAGTGAGATGCGCGCCATGGTGGTACGCGGGGTGGGCATCTACACGCTCATCCACATGGGCACATTTTGGTGGGGTCACAAGAAGCACGTCAAGAATCCCAAGGGCGCCGGCACGTTCGTGGGCGGACTGGTGTTGGGCGCTGGGGTGGGTGTTTGGTGGGGAGTTCTGAGGAGGGAGGGGTTGCCGGCGTTTATGTAGATAGGGATGGGGAATTGCAGGGGGGGAGGGAGATTATGGGGTATTCCATGGGCTTAATGGTGATGATGGTGGTGTGTTGTATTATCGTGACAATTGTATTCGATGTTTTGGCTTGTTGTTTAAAAGTCTTTTGTAGGGTATGATATAACGTTACTTGTTTAGTGCCCACCCGACGGGCTGCGGGGAAAACACTTTTTTTCTTCCTTCCCCTTCTTCGACTACCGGTATGATACCAACTTCCACCCCGCCACCGCGGTCCTTCGGTGGATGGATGTGTTATCTACCACACTTTACCGGGCATGCTTTTCTTTTCTTTTTCCCCCACTCCTATCACGGGAAAAAGGATCAAGTATTTCTACGGCGTTGGACATAATAATTACGGTAGCTCTTCTTCTTGGTTATTCCTTTTTATACCGGGATCAGGTCTGTGAATGGCGCATTTGATTGGGCTGGAGGTTCTGTATGTATCGGTTTTGTATCGCGGTGTGATGGGCGTCGACGTGCGCAGCAGGGCAAATCATGTCATGTGCATAACTGTGCAGAGGGGAAAGAAGAAAATTGTGGGTTAGGGATTTCCAGTGGTGCGGTATCAAGGTGTCAATGTGATTCAAAGTTCTCCATCAACCAAAAAAGCAATCTTGAAGTTGCCAGCCAAGGTACCCGAGTATCATACCGTATCATACACACACCCCAGGGCCACCCACGGTAAGTGCCAGCTAGAGAGAAAACGAGAAAACAGACATCAAAACTTGCCCTTTTCGCGCGTAGAAAGTGCACCATGTACTGTACAGTACCGGTTGCTTGTACAGAACTTTGAATCTCACTACCCGACTCGAGTATCAGATACCGTAGCTACGAGGCTTGTGCCAATGTGGTAAACGGGATTATACTGTACGAGTAGCAACCTAAACCATGCTAACTGCCCGTGTGGGAGGCCTGATGAGCCTTCCCTTGGTTGGATGGTGTTTCGACCGAGTTGCTCTGTGACCTGCTTGATATACCAATGGATGGAGGCAGGAGAATTGACCTGGATCCAGATGAATAATAGTAAAGAGACTGACACGGACGAAACAAAAGAGATAAAGCTGAACCTGATTTAGATGGGCACGAACCACTATGATATCTTAATCATTGTCATCCAGGGGTGGTTAAGCTTGTCCCACTATGTTAAGAAGGAAGTGTCCTGGCTTATATACAGAGTTTCTGCATGCACAAAACAGGAAATTCCACAGGTAAAAACCACATACGGTAACTCTCAAACATTACCCTATCAACTTAGTTCTCACTTCACACCGGTATGATATGGTACCAGTACTTCACCCGAAACCGTGGAGAAAGAAAAAAAAAAAAAAAGGAAAAAATCAAATCAAATCAAATCAAATCAAATCAATAGAGTAGTATACTGGTAGTCCGAGATCTCGAATTCCGCATCCACAGATCATTAAAATTATCATCTACGAGAGTGCGATATTTTGAAGACAGCAGAAGCTTGACGGATCATTCCCCGGCAAGAGTTCCCCCCCCCGAGAAACTGCCAGGGGCCAATGTGGCCGACCCCAGCTTCCCACAACCCCCCCCCCCCGGCCGGGGATAATAGAGAGAGAGAGAGAGAGAGTTCTGACGGCGGAAGGTAAAATTCGGAATTGCCTCGTACTGATCGGGGCTAGGCTCAGATTGGCGCGGCTTTAAATGGAATCGGGAGCATGAATGTAAAGTACCGCTACCAAACGAGCTGATCGTATGGTATCGTAGGTCCGGCGGGCGAATGGAGCTCCGGGATCAGCCCTGTCCGGTGGCCGTTCTATTAGAGGGGATAGTCTATGTACCGGTATGGTGCTCGGTAGGGTTGCTGGTGTTACTTTCGCGTCGGATGGTCCGCAGCCTATTTTTGTGGTCTGGAGGTGTACGGCAATACAAGTATCGTATCATAGTACTGTACTTGCACGATTCCTTCTCTGCGGGAACTGTTATCTTGCTGGGGAATTATGCCGGTGATCGGGATGGGGTTGATTGACTGAGTTGTTCTGGGCGGGTACTGTACAAGCCGGAACACAGTATCATACAAATTCTAGGTTTCTGGCCTCCCCTGAGGACTGCGGTTTTGCACCGTTGCGGTGGTCTGGATGTTGGGTTCATATTAGACTATATCTCGATTGTTTTACGGGGTCGTGTTAGTACGGTAGAGTGGCCGAGCGCCGTTATTTTCCTCTCTAATTTACCCACCTGTCACTCACGCACCCTTTATTTGCAAGTCTACTCTCTCGACACCTTGCAGGCCCGACAACAAACCTTGGCGCGAGTGACACATAATGACCCACATCGGAAGATAGACCATAGTCTAAGATGCACTCTGGAAATAACCGGTAAAGTATCACAATTAAAATTCGGGCGATACGATGCTTATATTTGGCGAATACTGAAATGGAGAAAGGAGAGATGACCATAACAATACAAAAAAAGGAAAAAAAGGAAAAAACCAATCAAAATACACCAGAAATATAAGCTAAGACAGGGCAAAAAGAGAGAAAAAAACATTCATCCCTCCGTCATTACTTTTCTGTTTCTTTGCTCCCGCCAAGTCTCCAATACCGATCATGGGTGGACGTTAGTTAACTTTTAGCTATAGTACATAAAGTGCCATAAAGTGGGCGCAAGGGCGTTTCGTTTCGTTCAAGCGGCCTCCTGTTTAATGTGGGTATTATCGCACTCCTGTTTAATGTGGGTATTGTCGCACTCCTGTTTAATGTAGGTATTGTCACACTCCTGCTTGATCTTTTTAACTTCCGTGTGCACTTCAGCACTATTCTCCGCTTTGCGTTTGTTGTTGTTATCCTCGTCGGCTTCGGAGGCACTCCCGTTTGTTTTCACCAGCGGAATCCCATCTACCCCCCCTGGGGTAGTCTTGATCTTTGGCGGTCCACCACGGTCATTTCTACCCTTCCCGCCGTTTCCCCTTCTGCCGTTGCTACCCTGGTGTCTTCCGCCTCCCCTCCCACCGTTGCCGCTTCGTCCGGCCTTGCCTCTACCCCGCTGGTTGTTCCCTCGCTGGTTGTTCCCGCGGTGTCCACTCTTGTTGCTGGGGGACTTATGGGGTGGGTGTAGTGTTGGTTGGATCTTCCCGTCTTTGATGTCTTGAATTTTCCCATCACAGTAGGCTTTCTTAGTGAGCCATTGTAGATCGGTGTCGTTCCATTTGGGTTTTTCTTCCAAGGACATGAATCCTTTCATGAGGTCTTCGTCCTTGAACTCGACGAAGATGGAGCCCTTGAAAAACCCGGTTCTTGTCCGTCTGAGGCGCACACACGCAATGGGTCCGTAAGGTGCGAAGAAATTTTCGAGGTCGATCTGAGTAGTGGGAGTTTCAGCGCCGAAACCTTTCTGTTTTCTCATGGCAGGTAGTATGTAAGCACCCCCACGCAAAAACTGAAAACATTGAGGGGTGAGTCATACCGCATAAATACTTCTTGGGATGGTTAGGTCCGTGAATTTCCGACCACCGGTAATGTCCGCATCCCAGGCCTGACGGGGGGTGGGTTGATACCCCCGATGGTTGGATTTATCCTTGGAATCTTTGCTCTCTACGTTACCCTCCTTGTTTTCAACCTCGTTGATGATCAATGGAATCTTCCGCCGAATGGTCTCTTCTCCGATATCACCAGTGATGACTAATGCTTCGCTCTCACGCAACGCTTTGACGATGGCCTCTGGGTTTGTGAAGCGGCGCATGCGTTTGAAGGAGCGGATAAGCTTAAGAGGGACTGAGCGGTTATCTTTACCAACGAGGCCGAAGAGAAATTTGTCAAAGGGGAGGTTGGAATCTGAAAAATAAAACTCGACCTGAATGCAATTGCTGTGTTAGCCATGTGCGGGAACAAAAAAAGAAAAGGCAACTCGGTTAGAAGGAGTGTTTTTTTTATTGTACCTGCTTCCTAATCTCCGCTGGGTCGTCAGATTCCGGGAGAAGAGTTGCATCAAATTTGATGTTTTCACTTTTCTTCTGCAACTTGGGTGGTTCCTTAGTCTCCGCCGTCGTGCTGTCCTTTTCCTCAACAGTGGCGCTTTTTACATCCTCTAGCTGCTCCAAAGATTCGGCCTTAACTTGTTCGTCCTTCTCGACAGCCGACTCAACGGCATCCTCGACAAGATTCTCTTCCACGGGCTCTCCCTGCTTCACTCCAACCTCAGGAGCCGCTGGCTGCTCCACAACCTTGACTCCTTCGCCCTTCTCGACAGTCGGCTCAACGACATTCTCCCCTAGATTGGGAACCTCTGTCGCCATATCGGTAGCAACCTCGTCACCCATTTTTCCCCTTCCGAGAAAGTAATGAGAAAATAGCGGGAGAAAATTAACAGGGCTTGAGAACAGTGTTAGAAAGATTGGGGGTGAATGATAGAGGTTGGGTGGAGTTTGGATGGGGAAGAGAAAATACCGGTATGGGAGAAGGGAAGGATGAGTCGACTTGCGGTCGAGTTTGACAGTGGGGTTTACTTGTAGTCTTGGCGCAGCTCAAATTGGTGGCAGTTGTTGGTGATCAGGTCTTGGAGCAGAGCCGCTTTGGTATTACTCACGTATTTTCCCATCAATACATTTACCGCTCCGCATATGATATGTAATTCTACGGTATGCTGTGGATGAGCAACTTTTCTTTGAGAAAGCAAGAAATCTGATAGAGGAAGCCGCAAGCTATTTAGACACCCCTCACAAGGACGACTACCCGAGCACTGCGAGCCTGAAGAGGAAGATTTCCTAGGTAAACCTACTAAGATCTGTTCAGATGGCTTGTGGTTTCGTCCTATTCTATTAGTTCTGTGAGCCAAAGTCGCTGGGTCACACTAGGGGATTAGGAAGGAGGTGAATCGGGATGGATCGCGTTACGAGAACGTTACTTGCCGATTTCAAAAGTATTCGGATACCTTGGCGCCAAGCCTCATACAAATCCTCGCCAAGGTGTCCGGATACTTTTGAAATCGGGAAGTAGTGAGCTCTACAGTAATAACTTTCATCCAAAAAGTCTCTAATATCGAACTAGGTCATACATCCGGGCACCGGAGTATCTGTTTGTACATGTATAAAATTTAGTTAAGAAACAGCTAAGAATGCTTAGGCACCTAAAACGATACTTTGTCTCGTGAAATACATCTTGGACCATACAGGGCTTCATTAATTTAAACTGCTGTCGGGTATGCCATCTTTTAGGCACAAAACATTTCTTACAGGTATCGTATCGTAGTTATAAAAGATCATCAAGTTCCATTATCCATTACTTGTAGAAAGTTTATGTTTTAGCTAGGGTAGTATCGCTAAAAGGTAAAAAGACAGTTGCAGCAACGCCTTCGAGAATCTACCAAATTTCCTTTCTCTCCCTCATTCAATCTACTGCCCCTTTTTCGCCACCTCCATCGCCTCTTGCTCATTAAACCATTTGAGAGTTTCCACGAGACCATCGTGTAATTTGACAAGTGGCTGGTATCCCAACATTTGTTTCGCCTTCCGAATATCGAAATATCTGTTCCAGCAACTAAATCTAACCCTGAACCTACTGAGGCCTGGCTCTCTATTGAGAAGCCATGCAAAAAGCTCTGCTGCGCCACCCATAGCGATACCGACAGCAGCAGGCATCACGATATGGAACGGCGCAATATGGCCCCTAATGGCCCAGATCGTCCGAGGAAAGTCCCAGAAGTAGCATGGTTCTCCATTGGTGATGAAATAGGTCTCTCCATCGGGGGTTTCTAGTGTTTTGGGGGTATGCGGAGACAACGCTATAAGCTTCTCGGTAGCCAGGATGTGCGCCCAGGCTGCATTGACGATGTAAGTGAAATCGAAGAGGTTCTCGTTGTTACCAATCTGGAACTTTGTTTGGCCGCGTGCAAGCACACCCAACATTCCGGGAATGAGTTGACGGTCACCCGGTCTGGAGCCCAATATACGTCAGGTTAGCTTATTTTCCGCCCCAGGCTTTTGGGGTTGGCATTGGACAAACCCGAAAAGTCCGGAAAGCCTCAAGGCAATTGTAAACATCCCTCCCTTACGATTGGCTTCCAACACCATCTTTTCGCCAATTGCCTAGAATAATGTGTTCAATTAGTGAATACTCGACGCAATAAACGAATCCTTGGTGTTAAACTCACTTTGGTTTCTGTATAGGGGTCCATTGCCGGCGAAGCAATTGGTGCACTCTCATTGACATTAATGAGGTCACTCGCGCCGTCAAACACCACACTCGCCGAGCTTGTGAAGACAAAAACCTTCACACCAGCATCACTTGATGCCTCCAGCAGAACCTTCGTGCCGTCCACATTGACCTTGTAGTAGATTGCCTCTCCCAGGCCATGTACAGGTGAAACAGTGTCAATGACCACCTCCGGCTTAACTTTATTCAGGATGGAATCAACCGACTCGCGTGAGGTGACGTCGCCCTCAAGATACGTGACGCCGGGTAGGGTGTTGGAAAGGCGCAGGTCCATCACGAATATATCACATTCTGGGTGGTGCTCTTGGAGTAAAGTGACGATGTGCTGACCGAGGAAACCACAACCGCCAACGATGAGGGCATTGTTAAGGTGTTGCCTTTTTCTCGATGTCATGATTAAACCTTGTATTTTGGGGAGAATTTGTGAGAAATGTTTTTAGGGTGTGGCCTTGGTGAATGGGTATTGGAGGTATGATAGCAAGCAGACAGCTATTGCACTGTTTGTTAACAGAAATTCGCGAACAAGTGAGAAGGCTATGGGAAAGGGGAAGAAAAGGTCCTCCCACAAGTAATGCTTGGCAAGGGACGCGCGAGTTTTGCCTACTCTAGTCTATGTTATATAGAGCTAACCTGAATTGTAAAATTGTTGCACAACAACCAGATAATAGTAATGTAAGGTAACTTACTTGCAACCTCTCATAATCTTAGATCTTAGATTGGGTAAAACCATTTTAGTTATGATATTGCACTAGTACAGTATTACTGGTATTCATATATTGAATACAAGAATCCGATAACATAAGCAGACCTAGAGGTTAGAATTCATTGACGTGTTAGTAGTATTAATAAGAAGGCCACCCTTATTCCAATCCTCTAAAGGGAATTGTTCCATCAATGATTGGATTTTAGGAGCCAACAGCACCCTCCACACCTCGATACCGCCCAGAACCGACTCGATAACATAGGGTTCCTGTTAACACAGGGAGACGTGGGCATCAACGCAGTCGACTTCGACTTCGCTGACCAGATGCCCCTGCTATTGCTCAAGTACCCTTTCACCGAGCACATTTCTTGTAAAATGGCTGGGGCAGCCTATTACTCCAGCATCCGAAGGTGAATGTGTATTGGGCAAGTCAACGGCCATGCACAAGGCCATCTACGACCCCGGTATTATTAAGGTGCTGCTGGAGGATATGAAGGTGAACTCTAACGGGATTACCTGTTGACTTACTCGTTATGACCCATTTCTGCCCACAGCTATCAATCAAGGGGGATACTGTGAGCAGGTTTGTGGCTATTGTTAATCACCGGTGCATACCGATGAGCTGGTTGCAGAGTTTGTAGCAAGGTGTTCTTACGAGGAGATGTGTTTGGTTATTCAATTAATGGTGAGAATTGAGGAAACGTGGTATTATTGCCAGGAGAGGGAGAGAAATGTGCTTAGGCTAGTGACGAAGGAAAAAGTAACCATTGAGCACTATGTATCGGCGATGCAATTGTGGTAGCAGACATTGTAAGGGACTGAAACAGATAGTGAGTATGGTTATTTGTACTTAAGGGCACCCGTGGCCCCCGAAGTTGCAGACGTTGAGCGGAAATACAAGATCAGATTCTACCCCAGTTTTTATCGGTAGCAAGGTAGGATATGGATCCTGAAGATAAAGATGGGACAAGTGCTATGTGGCTGAGATATTGAGAATGGGATTGTTTGATTCTAAGTCAATTCAAGAAGCTTTGCGGCGAATCTCCTGAAAAATGTATTTCCGGCACTGCGGAAAGAATCTTATCTTCGCTACCGCACTTTAAGAGTTAAAGTACCGTCTTGGGCACTCAGCTTGTAGACATTTCAGACGTGGACCATGAGTGTTGTGGGTAGAACATCTAAATGCGCCAATGTGCCTCCCTATTACAGGACACTAGTATCCCCTCGATCTACTCTCGAGCGCGTTGTGAATGTTGAAAGTCTGAGGGAGAAGATGTGGATAATCAGAAATTGCCAGCGGGGGTGTCGAGCTTTTTTTCTTGGCCCTCACTGACAATGTGCTCACAAATACACCCAACTGCACATCTTATCATAAATCACGTGCATGCTCAGAAATTCCCCCCTATGCATCTACCATCATTGTTATCAGATCTTACATTCTTATGAGATGAGATAGTACTCCTTGGCGCAACTGCACAGTGTATATATGAAAGGAGCCCGGGCCAGTAAGTCAGAGGGGGGGTTCCCGCCAGGTGGGGTTTCCGTAACTTCTGTATTGGTCCGTACTCACCACCCACTCCATTTGTTCAATTCAAATTATCTATATCAGAATAGTCCAGCCTCAATTTGTGCTCGCCTTATAGTAGGGATAGTTGCAAACTTTATATTTGGATCCTCCTGGACCTTCCACCTCTTGGTCCTTTTTACTGCAACGAGTTCTTCATCCAGTGCCTCAATCTGTCGCTTGGCAATTGCCCATTCAGCTTGGGTTTGATCCAGTGCCTTACCAGCCTTCTGGAGGAACACCTTCTCAGCTGGTATGGCCTTAACTGATAGAGAAAATTGTGTGGCCTGATCTGTTAACTAGCAGCTCTTCCAGGAGGTAGGCCATGTTGAAATTTTTGATTCGTTTCATATGTATATTTTACTTGATAATAACGTGTATTCTCATACTTGGTATATATTCTGGTTAAACCTATACATTGCGGACATTACTATAGCTAGGACATGTATCGTGCATATTTCATTAATATTTCATGATAGCGATCAGGGATTATACATATGTTTTCTTTTGTGTGTTCAGATTATTTTGGTTACTTATGCATATTTTATGCACTATTCTTGGTCATCAGATTTATAATGTTTCTGCATATCTTTCACACCATTACGCATTCACATATGTTTAAATATATTTCTTTGGCAAGTTTTTCAGGATCAAACCTGGTCGCATTTATGTTCTTTCTATGTTTTCCCTATTTTTCTGTTAGTTACATGGGGTTATGCGCACCTGTATATATAGTGGGTTACAGCCCGCCTCGCTTAGGCGAATTAAGGAAAAGAACTACTACCAATCTGCCTTCGCACATCTACTTCCTCCTCGCTTAGTGTGCTCATAGTATAAACTTCATACTGTGCACTATTCCCGTACAGAGTTATTAAGATCGTACAGCTATAAAATTGAATAGGCCATAGTGTTTGGGGGGGGGGGCAAAGCCCTCAACAAGGGGGTTATCAAGTGTCTCCCGCTCAGGAGTAAGTGCTGTGGTGGTAGGAGTTTTCAGATTGTTGGAATTTGGGAGAAGGAACCAGCTCATTAGGGCTTGGCTATAGTAACTGGCCACAAACCAGTTGCTGACTACCCTACTCTTCCAGTTCTCGCCGTCAGTGTTTCCTGCCTCACCCGCCAGTAATATGAAAGAATAGCATGTTTGCCGGCTACTGTTGGATCATCTAGACATTGAGAAAGTATTTCATAGAGGTATTTCTGATAGGCACCCTTGAGGGGAGAGAAAACGGATGAATCTAAAGGCTGAAGAATGTGGGAGGTATGTGTGGGTAGGTAAATGATGTGAATGTTGTTTGAGTAGGCTGCCCACATGTAATCGTCTGTTGCATGGCTGCTGTGGCCATCAATAACAAGAAGTCTTTTATCTTGGGGGTTGGCTGGCTGTTAGGAATACCAGAACCCGATACCTAGGAACCACTCTAAGTAGGGTAGCCCTACTTGGAATCGGAATCTCTGGTCTCCAACACCCCGCTCTGGCTCCCTTATGGGATCCGTGCATCATCATATATATCAATCTCAGTGGTGTCCTGTGACTATATTATCACAGAATTGAAGGTGTTAGAATAATGCCATATACGCTGCCGCTGTCCGTCCGACCGGATCTTGTTCGCAGGATATATGAGAGGGATCCTTCGGCTAGGTCTGGGAAGTAGAACGGAGTAATTCCGTCAACTACTTAGAGAGTCATGAGGCTCCAAAGACATGATACCTTTGGTACAGGCCATAGGTAATGGGACGCTTTCGCATAAAGAGATGGTATCAAATGGTAAAGGATTTCTACTAGAGACTAATACATTTACATCTACCAGAAGAGTCTAGAACTCCAAAAGATACTACCAAAGAAGCTAACAAACTTCACAGAATGTTGCAACTGGGTTTTGGAACACGTTGTAATCATGGGGTGATCCTTAATACTACAATGGTTACTGAAACCTATTACTCAGAGAGCAACCAAGGGTTGCCGACAGAGGGGTTAATTAACAATCTGGTGGAATAGCTTTCTGCGAATTGATAGGAAGTCATCCAGAGGAAATCTATCAGTTGGGTATGGAGTTACAAAGGATCAGAGTCAGACGACCTACGATGGTTGTAATGATGACTACCTTTGCAGATATAGCCATGGATAAAACTGATCATTTTATCAATGGCGAAGACAATTGGAGCCAACTCAGTTCGACTTAAGAACTATGCTATAAGTCTAAAGACTCTACTAATCGGGATATTACTATTGGAGACAGTACGTTTCCTAAGAAATATTGTAATTACCGAAGAGGGTGTGATGGTTTTCAGGGTCCACAGGTGTTCACACCTTGGAAGAAAACTCAAGGTTGCGAATTACGATGGAAGAAGTACATAGTTGTATGATAAATAGATGTAGTCCGCGAACACTCAGACGTGAAATATAAATATCGAAGTGCCTCCCAAGCTTTAGACATCATCAAGCAACGGAGAAGAGACCTTAACAATATAATATTATTTTTACGATTCTACCCTACTTTACCTACTTTACTTCGCTCCTAGTAGTCATAAATGAAATGAGCCAAGTTGGTGCCTTCCTAGACAATCTCTGTCTACCAAAACCAATCTCGATTGGCCTAGACAATCTTGAAGTCTATCAAGTTGTCTCCGTCTAACAGTATATTGTTAGATCTCCTTATTACCAGGGCTCTCTAATCGGTTACCACTTGCATGGGTTCGATTCACACTTTCAGTAAAGTCATTGATATTACGGTCGGCCTAGATACCCTTGAAGAACTATCCTGAATCACTTCAATTTTCGAACCACCGACTAAGGTTCTCTTGCCATCTATTAGTCAAGTATTTTCTAGTCAGATTGAGCTTTCAGAAGTACCATTTCTGTTACAAGAAGCTTTTTCATGGTATACTGACCCCAACCTAGTTCCTACTGAGGAACAATTTCAAAAAATATACGAAATCTGGTATGGACCAGAATTCAGTTGGAAACCCTTCCTTGACTGGGATACCAGCAAGGAAAGCTCTCTTAGCAGCAGGTTCTCTGCTACTATACCTCTAGCGTGGAGACATGGAACTCATCTGAACTTCCATTAAGATCTATCTCCTCCTACCACACGACGCGGCCAGGACACCAAGTGTTCTGCTGCAT